TCAGAAAATGAAATGTTATTACTGATAATGAAAGATTGATCGGAGTCTAATGCCAACATCTCAGCATCGTCCAAAAACAGCAAGTTCCCTTTACGCTTCCCGAAGCAAAAAAAGCACAATCATCCTTTGTTCTGTTCCACATCTAATCTTCTTAGGAAGATCTTAAAAAGTCACCAAAGGATGCTTTGACTGTTTGATCATCCTTCTATGCTCGGTCCTGTTCTTCTGTTTAAACCTTCCACTTTGTGAATGTGATATTTAGCGTTTTTAATTTCACTAGGTATTTTATAAGAGAGTTTGCAGATGTCCGCATGTCAATTTTGGAGGAAGACGGAGTAATCCTTGCATAGATTTCAGCAACATGGTAAAAGGTCACGAGAGGTTTCAAGAGCCCCTGAGCTAATGTTTTGACTTGTGACCTAGCATGACCGGCTGCCTGGCAACAAGGACAACCCTTCCAAAACCATCTACTTTCTTCTCTTAGCCACCAAAATCAAAGGGAAGCTAATGGGTGCTCAGATTACACCTCCATAATGCATTGTTGTTCATTCAGTGAGAGCTCTGCTACCTACAACTGCATGGATGTGCTTACTCAGTCCATCTTCCCACCAACAAATTGATTGTAAACAGAATGACATGGGCTTTGTTTTGGTCAGTTCAAAGAGACTGAGATTGAGGGCACGGAGAACAACGCAGGCTCATTCAGAGGCATAGGTTTTCTCTGCCTCACTGACTGCACTGACTAATTTAGCTGTCAGAGGTTATCGACTAGAGAGAAGCCTGTGTGCATGAATAGACCATCTAATTAAAGTGCTAATTTTTAACTCTTGATGCTGTTACACTTGTACATGGTTAACAGATCAGTGCTTTATGTTTATCTCAGTTTGCTTAATGACTTTGAGCTGTGTATCTTTTTAACTGGGTAAATGATTCTGAGCATAGCGACATGGCTCAGGAGGAGAAGGGGGAGGCATACCTTCAGAAAGCTCATTAACTTAATCTCTGGCTCAGTTCAGCGTACTAAGTGAAGAAGATCTAATTTCAGTTAATGGCAATAATTACCTGAAGGCTTGTTGTTTTTCTGGAGTGAGTGGCTAATGTCAGATACTGCCACATCACGTTACTTCAGGAATTCTGTTCCTGTTCCTGTGCTCTCGCCATTTTAAGTGAAACTGAGCAAGAACGTTTGCATCATAAGAGCTGAAGTCCTAACATTAGAGCCTGCAAGAATGTGCTTTTTTCCCACAACTTACATACCAGCTTTTTGGCCTGCTGTTGGAATGCTGCATGCTGGTAATAGGGCAGAGATTTGTGCATTAAGGCTGGCAGGGTGCTTCAAGGCATCAGTTGACCACATCATATGGAGAATTAAAGCAATGAAAGAACTTGCCGTTTGCGAAAAAGCTTGTCTCTGTTTTTGAGATGAACATCACATTCCTGTTCATTACCTTATCTGGCTTTTTAATTTTCAGCTGCCTGCTGAGTTTGGAGCCTGTTGCATGGATGATATGCAAATGAAATAATAGTCAAATCTTGCAAATCTTGAAGTGAAAAATACCAAAAGTGTTTACGAGAGTTATTACTGTCAAATGTCTGGCTTTGTGCTCATCTTCTAGAACAGGCCCATCTTGCCTCAAGGGCCTCTCTGAGCCAGACGTTGTTCCTACAAACATCTGGATTCTGCTGTCAACATTTATCGTCTTTTGTCTGAAAGGTAATAGTCAAGGACTCGGGGTGCCCTAAGGTGATTTTTGTAGATCTTCTTTGCTTAGCTAGCAACTCGTAGGGGGTTTCTCATAGTCCTTTACAGAGCGACAGAGCTGTACATATGGCTCACTCCACAGGGTGCTATGTTTCCAGTTCCGCTCTTCACCCAGCAGCACCTGGTCATGATCAGGATGCAAAGCCCCAAGTGATTGTACTCTTCTAGTTTATCATTATCCTGTCAGAGCCTGACTTCAGTTTGGTTAAGCTTTCCCTCCTGCACACTTTTCAACAAAACTCACAGCAGGGGTTTAAACAGTACACCTCTCGCCACACTTCTTGCAAGCTGCGATGCTTATGTTGATGTGACAAAAGTCTTTCAGCAGTTCTTTTTTATCTCATAATGGGCTACACAGACCACAGGCATCGCCTCACCCTCATGGTCAAGCTCATATGTTTTGACTTGGAACAGGACCACCATCTGCAGCTCTTAATGAACTTAGAGAACCCCAGAGGACTTTGATCTGTGTTTGATAAATAAGACCATGTGCTCATAAGCTAAACTGAGTAGTGTTTTAGTAGCAAGCTCATTGTTCAAAACAGTCATTTTTCCAGCGTGTAGGATGCTTGAGCTGTTTCACACTGACATCACTCTCATTCTCTTACTGAATCACAGGAAACGTAAAGCGATTGTTTAGCCAAAAAATGTACACAGTGTTCCCCTTTTACCCCAAATATAGTCAATCATCTAAGACATGTTCTTCTTTAGTTCTGTGCTGGATCTACAAGGCTAATGTAGTGGACAAGTAATTGAAGCTCATAGCTGTCATTTAGCATTGTGCTAACTCTGCACCAAATCATCACAGATTTGCATCAAACTTTTAGGCAAACTCAAACAGATTTGCTAATGTGGCTTCTGACACTGTATGACATACTGTTAGCTATTAAAATGAACAAAAGAGTATAGCACAGCTAAAACAGCTTTAGCAGTTGCATCGTAAAGCCAAAATTTTGTTTGTAATTTTGTCTGTTTTTGTTACTTTGTTACATAAGCAAAAGCATTAGAGAACAGTTGACAACTTTTGAGGTGATGATTGACTGGTGGCTGTTAGCTTCCATTATTTATTAGCTACATTAGCCTTGTAACTCCAGTGAAAACTAAAAAAGCAAATGTCAGACACCAAACATGTTCTGGTTGATGCAAATGGAAAACTTACATTTACTCTTGCTCTTACGTTTTTTTTATTTTAGCCCAAATCAAAACTTTATCTGCCAGATTTAAATAATAAGTGTTATTTGAATACAAGTAATCTCAGTGCATTGTCCCCTAAACTGGAAGGGCTTTTATTTTGCCACAATTAGCACACAGGCTTTTGCTCACTTGCTACTTCTAAAACTCATTGTTTACTGGCCTCTTGGGTCACTAAGGATGAGGAAGACAGAGTCTTACATCAGCCTCAGACCTCTACCTGGTCCTGTCAGAATTTTAGCCAAGCAAGCTTGTTGTTTTTATCATGCTTTAATAGATGACGCTGCTTCAGTAGAGTGTGTCTATGAATGGCATCTGTTGTCATTTTCTCCGACGCCAGCTAAACTAATGAATGTGTGAATGGGATCATTAGATAACTGTCTTGCTCACAAACCCACCCTGACGCTGAAGAATGGGACATTGTGGTTACTCATGTGCAGTTTGATGTCTGAGACATTGCTTTATGATAGTTTTGAGAAGCTTTTGGCCTAAAATCCAAAGCTCATCCATGACAGAGAAGTACATATAGGGAGTTAGGCAAAATAAACTTTTTTCCCCAGATTTTTTCAGATTATATCAACATTACATATAAAAACTCAGAAAACACGTGTGGGTTCACTGGTAATTTGGATAGTAAATAAAATGGCTCCATTTGTGTTGTAGACATTGTGACTCCTGGTTCCCATCACCACCACTGTAAAGAAATCTGAGTCTGTAAGTTCCTCTACAATAAACCATTTCACATCAAACTACTCTGAATGACTGTTCACAGCACTTTACATTGAATTATGCAGAAGCATTGAAAAATCAAGCCCTTTAAGCTTTTACGCTTTGCCACAAGCAAGATGAGCGGTTCTGTCGCCATCATGATGTACATTTGTTTATGCTGCAACAATGACAGTGGAGCTCTGTACAGCACAGAAAATTCATGCAGTCATTTTAAACTTTCGAACTTGATTTTCAAGATGGTAATAATGTGTATGTGTGTGTGTGTGTTCATTTTCAAAACTTGATGTGGAGTATTTTTTGGCCTGTAAAAATCAGACTTAGTGTAAACAGGCCTTAAGGTTTAGTTGATACCAAAAAAAGGTCAGTTTTAGGCAGTATCAAGTTTGTGACAAACAGCTGGAGCAGAATTCTCCCTCTTCCTTACACAGAAAGTTTGTATTTTTGGGGTCTTCCTATTCGCTAGGGGTTTGTGCTTTAAGACATTACAAAATTCTTTTAGTGGGTCTGTCTCAGGGCCTTGAGAGACGTTTTTCTCTGTCTGTATTGCAAAGGTCAAATGGCGTGTTTTGATAAGGGGTCCTGCTATTTTAGAGTAGTCTGTGTGGGCAGACTTGCTTTATTTTACCTCTCTCTTGAGGTGACCTACACTGAATCCTCTTAGGGGAAATAAAAACCGAAAGCCGCTCTGTAATAAAACAGGAGAATTTGCTGACATCAGTGTTGTTGGGTGAAAGTCATTTCCTTTTAAGGCAAAGTGTTGTTTTCCCAGAAGGTTCCAACTTATTTCTCTCATTTGGTTGGTGTATAAAGTATATATTGTACTGGACTTGTATTGCTTGTATTATATTGAAAGCAAGGACATATTCTAAGAAACTGTATCTCTTGTGTAGTATCTGCACAGTTTGCTCACAGTCTTAATTGTCCTATATTATGATGCATACCAGTGTAGTCTTTATGAGGAGAGGGTTTTGTGTTTTCTGTTCTCATGTCAAGTCTTGTTCTTAAAGAAACCCCAAATGACCTTATTTCTCTAAACAAACTGACAATGTCAAAAACATTTTCTCCAAAAAATGCTACGATTTCTAATGATGAATGAATACTGTCCCTTTGGGTATTATGCAAAACCATTCTAACTGGTGGTTCCAGTTTCATTCATTCTTAGTGATGTTAGCGTTCCCCATCAGCCTAATAACATGCTTTTCTAACTGGGTTCCTTCCCCGCGGCCCAAATATTACCTTCATGTCTTTCCCTTCCCTTTACCCTCACATCTTTCCTTGTGTCATATATCTATTTAATTGAATTCTTCTCCCTCCACAGAACAGAGCGGTGTGTCACTTCTGCAGCTGATTGGTGAACCTCTACCCGATGGCATCGACAAGATCTACGGACCAGATAACAACCCTGGCTACGTGTTCGGCCCGAATTCCAACACAGGTCAGCTGGCCCGTGCACACCTGCCCAACCCTTTCTACCGTGACTTCTCACTTCTCTTCAACCTGAAGCCCACCTCCACCAAAGCGGGCGTCATCTTCTCCATCACCGACTCTTCCCAGAAGATCATGTATGTCGGGGTGAAGCTGTCAGCCGTGAAGGCAGGAAAGCAGAACATCATGCTCTTCTACACGGAGCCGGATTCTCAGACTTCCTATGAGGCAGCCAGCTTCAGCGTGCCCTCCATGGTTAACTCCTGGACCCGCTTCTCCATCAGTGTGCTGGATGACCAGGTGTCCCTCTATCTCAACTGTGACTCTGACCCCCAGGTGCTCCGCTTTGAACGTTCCCCAGATGAGATGGAGCTAGAATTAGGAGCTGGGATCTTTGTGGGACAAGCTGGAGGAGCCAATCCTGACAAGTTTCTGGTATGTGTACCCCGCAGTAGTGCCTCTTCCCAATTATAGCAGATAGACTGAGGAGAGCTGCTATAGTGAAGCGTAACTGTAGCTGGTAATTAAAGTTTTGTTTTTGAGAAAGCAGACGGTTTGTCCTAGCCGAGGCAAGCATGCGAAACAAACGGAAACCACTGCGCCTGTCATGATTCTTGGTTGATTTGATTGTTTAAATTGGCCTCCTTTACATACTGTAGGCCATACAGGTCGGGTCATCACTGGAACCTACGGAAGCAGAGGAGTTAATTGAGCTTTCAAAACCGCAGGGAAGCAATTGGCTCCTGCAGGCTCTTCATGTGTAAATCTTGTGTTTGGCCCTAAGAACTTAAAAAGCACAGAAAAAAGTGATTCATTGAATTATCTTAATTCGAATTATTTCCAAGTGAATAAAATTGATTTTACATGTGGTACTGGGCAAAAGTCAGAGAACCCCGGCATTTATTTTGTTTCCAGTCAAAACAGCAATTAAGTAAAAGTTATTCATTATTTTAGCATAAAAAATGTATGTAACAGCAAATTCTACAGAATACACATCAACTAAATATAATAACTAATGTTCAGTATTTAGTGTGTCTACCTTTCATCTTTATTACAGCTTCCTTTCTTTTCAGGAGACTTGCTTTCAGTTTTTTAGGGAAATCTATAGGGATATTTCTGCACACCTCCAAAGTTCAGTCTTGGAAGCTGATTTAGCGTTTTCTGCTTCTCACAATCCAAGTAATTGAAAACACATTCAGTGATGTTGAGCTCTGGACTCTGGGGTGGTCAGTCTATTGTTCTGAGAACATTAGCAGCTTCTTTGTTTGATATGTCTGTTACCCTTTCTCAGTGAGGGCTTCTTGACAGCTACACATCCTTTCAGACTCATAGTGTTGAGTTGTCTTCTCACAGTGGAAGGATGGCCAGAAACTCGTGTGGATTTTTTCAGATCTGAAGCAAAAGTGGAGCTTAATTTTCTCCTCTCTCTCAAAGATGAAAGCTTTAAGTGCTGTTTATCTGATGCGGACAGTTTTATTGGTTTACTTGCATCTTGCACTTGGTCTTGCATGAATCACTATAAATTCATAAGTCATGTAGTTATGATACTGAGGAATGAGGTGTGGTGCCACATACGGAGCCTTGAGAGCTTAAGGTGTTCATATGTCTATTTAATGTGATTTTGTCCAGAGTCAGCCCACATTAGTCCAAGCCTCTAAATTGTTAGTATTACACAGAGTTTGGAAGATCTGTAGAACGTTGTTGGGAAGTTCTGTTCATGAAAAAGTCCAGTATTCTGTGAATATCTCTCAAAAATATTGTTTCAGATCATGTAATTCAATACAGTCCTGAAAAGGGGAGATGCAGAACACCATAGGCTGTTCGTTTTCAAGCCTTATGCTCCACTCCAGGATGCGGAAATACAGCACCAGCGGGGCCAGCCTCCATATGGCCTGCTGTAGTTTTGAGAAGGGTCTGATTGACCTTCTTGATCTGTGAACAAGAGCAACTGCAGTCCTTTAGCCAGATTAAATCTTTGCAAGCTGCAGTGGTTTCCTGATCTGTATGTGACAGAGTACCTTTTCCCCTGTAAGGTAGATTTTACAGCAAAACCGTAGCACTTCGTGATTTGTGATTTACTAGGTTTTCCCAGTAAACCGCTATAAATTCAGGTTTACTGTCCCTTTGCACAATGCATAGGTTGTTATTCAAGTCACTGCACCATGAATTTCCATTTCTTCACATCGTTTAGAAATGTAAGAGGAATAATGCAAGTTATGAAAATCCATTTCTTAGTACTAGACTTAATACATTTCTTAATACTGACTCACACAAAAATGGTCTAACGTGAACCATGTAATTGAATTTATGTAGATATATGTAGACTTGGTTATGGGCAGACAGGGTCTTTGTTTTTAAACTAGCTGCTTACATGCTTACAATTATGACAATTATGGACTTTCATGCAGGTAAAAAAAGAACTAGTAGTTTGTCTGCAGTAAGAACTGAGCATGAAAATGCCCTTTCAGTCAGACAGTTGGACCACACTGAGTCTGGATGGTTATCTCCCTACTACCTATTAGCCATGGCAGCACTGTCCTCCTGTCTGCCCATAACCATAGTGAGGCGACCGGCCTGGCGGGAATGCTCCTCTTTCTGTGCAGGACCATGCTTTGACAATAGGCATTCAGGAGCAGATGGATGGGATGCGCCCCTGTATGACTCCTCTGATCTCACCATGTTTCATGTGGTCTAAGGAGGCCTCGTAGAGTGATGTCAGTAATGGCCCCATAAGTAGTCGGCCATCATAATTACAGGCTTCATTAGGCCGGATATGATTACTGTACTCTTGCTCTCATTAGAGCCGTGTGTTAATCGGCAGATCTGTGGCTTCGTATGAACTGGGCTGAGATTGGGGCTGTAAGGGGTTCTCATCGGGGGTCAGGGTGCGCAACAAAGGCTCAATTAAGGCATCATAAAGCCCCCTTTGACTGCATTCCCAGGCTAAACCTTTGACCTAAACCTTGGGCATTCAGTGTGGGAGAAAAGTCCTGTTGGTTTTTGAAGATAAGTTCCTGTTAGTGTCAACCCGTCCCTACCCTCGTTTGGAGAAGGTTTTAATGAGACAGTGGTGAAGCAGCTGTCCATGCGTGTTGGGCTTATGGGGCTTTAATGGGCTGTGTCATGTTCTTCGGGAGATGCTAGTCTGAATGGCATCACAGTTAGGGAAGTAATTGTGATGAGGTCCATGAAGGGGAATCCACCCCGGGGAGTCAATGGGAGCTATGCTTTTGAAGTATGAAACATCAGACACATGTTATGGACTGATTATGAGGGCTTGTGGCCTCACACTCTGGAGCTTGCGAGGAAAACAGGAAGAATTTGACACTAATACATACTGGTACATGTGATGTCACACCTGATAGTTCAAAAAGCACCTGCTCACCTGTTTGCGTGTTTGCATTCCAGGGTGTTATTGGAGATCTGAAGGTTGTGGGAGACCCTCGTGCAGCTGAACGGCACTGTGAGGAGGATGAGGATGACTCAGATGCAGTAAGTTCAATAGCACCTCTAACATGAGCCAGGAAGACCCATAATCACACTCTCACTCACTCTTTATGGCATTCTTTGGCCCAGTTACACTTCCATCATGCACTCAAATGGAGCTCAGTAGAGATTCTGTGAGAGACTTGATGTGTGTCTGGGAATCAGCTTAAACTCAACTACTTAAACTCAAATTATGTCTCAGTAATATCTAATTTAAAGTGTTGGATGTCTTATTTAAAGTGTTGGACACTTTGGATCTATACATTATGGATATTCAGGGGTAAAAGTGACCAGGTTTTACTGGAAGAACACTAGTTTCTCCTTTTTTTTAGGGGAGTGGAGGGAATTGTATCATCAAAATATACCATTTGATTTTTTCAAATATAGTGCATGTCCTAAACTCAAAATATATAGAAGATAAATATGAGGTTTTTATGTTAAAGTTATAATGAATGCTTAACTGTTTATTCTCAGACACTTGACTTTTCTTTACCTGAGCATCTCTGACATCTTTGACTAAAGCTGAAAGAGCAAAAAACGCTTAAACTCTACATGTTGCCAGCAATGGTAATCTTAATTGATTAAGATTAGTTGATACATTAGTTAAATCAAAATGTAATCCTCAGTCCTTAAACCTATTTATTAAGAACAGTGAAAAAGGGAACATATATTTTGAAAAAAATTTGAAAATTATAAAGCCATTTTCTAAATGTTTAACAAAGAACACAATATAAAACATCTCCTAAAGTTTATTGTAACTTTCACTGATGCTACCAAACAAGCTTTTCATCAAGGCAGAAAAATAACTGTTTTTAGACATCAAATGCAGAGTAAATGGCTGACATTTGTAGGCTAGTTAGCTCAATATCAGTCATTATTCCCCCTTTGGGTTGCAATGGCTGATGTGAGAATTCATCATGCTTAAAATTAGCTCAGATTTTCAACATACAAATGAATTGTGAAAACAGACTACTGCAGAATGCATTACCATGGAGACTAAGTGGGCGGACCCTACTGCACCACAACTTTCCATTGGCTGAATGGGCTGTAAGCTGGACATGGCATGCATTCAACACGGATTTGTTGATACACATTCCTTAGAAACAGTGCAGTTTTTCCTATAAAAACAGCTACCTAGAAATCTGAGTATTTTATAATGACCATAATACATTGTACAATCATAGAACAGCATCTTAGAAATATGTTACATATCTTCAGAGTAAAACCTCCGTGCTTATAAAAGAGTCATCGGCTAGACCTACTGAGGTTTGCAGTTTCAGTTAACCTGTCACATCTGTTCAGTACAAACAAGAGTGATAGTGTTGACATTTCGGGTCAGTGTAATGTCAGTGTGGAATTGAGAAGTATTGTAGAACTTGGTGAAGTGTTCAAAAGTGAATTAAAAAATATCCAAATGTGCTCTTCCAGCAGTGATAAGAGCAGATATGGTAAGATATCCAAAGTTCTATATTTTGTAGGGTTTACATTCTGCAAGGCCTGTCTTTTAAGGGGAAGAGACAGTCATTGTGGGCTGATATATATCAGCCCTGTGGCTGGCAGTATGTGGAATTTACCCATATATTTTAAAAGAATGCTTTGCCTCCAGTAGATTCTCCATAGACTGAACCCTTAACACTAGCCAAGATCTGTGGTCTGTACAGAGTTGAGCAGAATACTGAAAAAGTAATAATGGCTATACACTTAATGAACATTAATAAATGTATTCAATATCATATTCTGTTACAATATGTAAAAAGTAACATATTCAGAATACATGCTAATAAAGCACATGATCTTTTTTCCCAAATTCACACTGTTCCTCATTGTTACTATTGTCACCTTTCTTTATGTGATTATTCTGTTAATATGTTTCATGAAACATTTGCCTACAGTTTGAATAAGGTTTTGAAATTCTCAACTTTTATGTCTCTGCATCACCTGCTTCAGTCCTCTGTTGCTCCCACAATCCCATGAGTCCAGTGCAACACTGATGCTAAGGTTATCACTCACGAACGTGTCCCCTACTGAAGAGATTGTCAGTTTGATCATTCCTTTAAAGAGCTTAGTAATGCTGAAATAAATAACTGGATCATCACAGTGATTTATCAGTCCACTCAGGCTTTAGCAGAAACTTCAGTGTTTGCAAAGAAGCCATGTGTTGAGTTCCTCTTTAGAGTTTGTCTAATAAGCATTTTTGTTACACACTGAAACCAGGCTTTAATAAATAAATAAGAACTGCTTTTTTAGTGGATAAGTGTTCTTAAAATATTCTCTTAAAAATATAACAATAGCTATATTGTGAACACTGCCTTTTCAAAATTTTACATGGACTGAATACAGATGCTTAATATCTATATTTTGAATATGTATTCTAAATGCTTGTGTTCTGTTACATCCTAAATCTGGGCCTGCAGATATCAAGATAACACTGATTAAATGCTTGCATTTCATTGTGAAAAAGATTAAGAAATGTTGTTCATTTCAGTCTCTCTCTCTCTCTCTCTCTCTCTCTCTCTCTCTCTCTCTCTCTCTCTCTCTCTCCTCACCTACAGGCCTCTGGTGATTATGGAAGTGGTTATGAAGGCACTCACACAGTCTCGGTATTGTTTTTCATTTTCATTCATTTTCCTTTGACCACTCCTTTGTATTTGTAACCCTGAGACCTCAGTCTCTCTCACTCAACCTCCACATATTCCCTCCACTCAAAACATCATCAGACAGCACAGCATCCTGAGATTCTGGGCTATTTCCAGAGCGTGTGTGCTGTGTGAGTTTTGGCAGAGCTGTCGGCTATACAGACTCTTATCTTCAGGCAGCGGGAGGGCAGGGGGGCAGGGGGGCTATTCCGGCCCTGAAGGGCCAGAGTAGAGCATGGTTTGCTGATTTCCCTGCACTAACTGATGAGTTGAATCAGGTGTGTTTGAAACTCACAGGAAACTCACTAAACTGTGCTGGACACCCCTGTTCTGGAAGGAATCCCAGTCAAACACTTCTCAGATATAAAACGCATTCAGACTCAGATACTACACCATATGTGGTTTGAAATGAACCCTGCAAACCCTGATACCCACAGCTTCTGCCTGAACACGCCAGGCCCAATTACAGAGGATAGGAAAACCAGGTGGTTCCTCATTACTGAAGACAAGACTCCTCTGCCTCAGCGTCTGCTTTGTGTATTTTTTTCTTTTTTACTAGACTGGTTTCTCCATCAGTGTAAAAGCACAGTATGTTCAGAAAAGTGAAGGTTTGGCTCATGCTGAATTGAGCAGGTCCAACCGCTCTGACTGTGAAGCCTTATCATGGGGGGCTTTCCTTTTTACTAGAGGAGCATCGATCATGAATTTTAGTGGCCAATTCTGATTTCTTTGCAGCCTAATTGGTGATGGCCGATTTTTATTTACATTTAAAAGAAAAAAATAAATAAAAAGCTTACACTGTGAAGGGTAAATGAACACATGAAACACACTAACACATTTCCAGGACCTGATATTGACCAAACATGTAATATGAACCACAGTATTTGCTCTGTAATGGGTCCAATCTCAATTTTAGTTGCCTGTTTAAATAACATGAATCAAATAATCGAAAGTATGAGAAAACTGGCTATTTAGGTCAGTGAAAATAAGTCATACATCCTTTACAGAGAATTCTGCACATTTTAATGCACACTTACTGTTTATATCTTCAGTTTAACATATTTGGGGATACAAAAAACATAAACGTGTGACCTGTGCAGAAGATAAGTATATTTTTTAATATAATATAATATGTTTTATTTTTATCCAATATGTTAAATTCTATACTATAGATTATGTCTGTATTTTCACTTAGAACACCAACCAAACATGTCTATGGACCAGGAGTGTCCAAACTTTTGCATACAACTATATTTATTAGTGTTATATAAATCAACTTTAAAAGCTTTCAACAGCTGGTACTGAACACAGAGACAGTGGCTTCATTCTTTTCCAATTAGCCTTCTACATATGACGAGTCTGAACAAGCTCCTGAAGGAAAGGGAGAAGGTGTTGTATTTAGAAATGGCACAGAGCAAACTTTCCATTGTCTTCCACTGGAATTAGTTCCTGATTAATGGCCTCTTCCCCCGGGGGCATTTTCCTCGCTCATTTCACAGTGAATGAAGCCATACGGTGACTCGTGTCTGCGGCAAAGACACCCGATGGGTGTGAATTCTTGTAGTCTCCTGAGCATGACTGCGCCATCTGCATGCTGCTTCACGTAATCTAATATTGCTGGATGTTTTTTTTTTTTTATTTCTATAAATAAATAAAAGAAGGGAAAAAAGGGAGTCTTCATCTTGTGACCACAGAATGAACATGAGTTTGATCTCATTACGTTACCTCGGTGAACCCGAAATATGATTTGCAGGAGGACAAGTACAGTATGTTTCACTGGCAGCCAGTTAACAGCAGGAGGTTGTGTCAGTGTCTGGTTGTGTTTCTGTGCTGAAGTTAATAACCAGCCTGCTGAGAGGTCAGGGACTCCAAAGTGTCCCCCAGTGATGGATGGATGCATGGGCGTCTTGCCTTATTACACCTACCAATTAAGAGCTATTCAGTTTCAAGAGATGAGCCAAATTCCACACAGTGTGGATCTCCATTATAAGGAAAGTGTGCCAGATGCAAAGGGTAGTTTTTTTACTGTTCTTATTTGTTTATTGATTTATATATTTATTTTTGGTAACTGAGGTGGCGTGAGCTTCATTTTCCATTCGCTGCATAGTCTCCCTGAAACGTTCATCTGCTTAGAGTGAGCTATGAGTGGAGCTTGGTCAGTTATCTCTGTCTTGCAGAGCAGTAAGGAGGGCCGAGTATTCACTTTGATGGCAGATGTTCAGCAGGCCGTTCCTCATCTCCTGTTCACCCCTCAGCCCACATTCCTCCCCTTGATCCCTCTCTGTAGGCTAAAATACATACCGTCAGCATCCCCTCACAGTGGGACACTAAAGTCCACTCCAGTCCAACCTCAGTGGCCTTGTAGGAGCACCAGAGGAGACCAGACTCATTTCTGCTGTTTGGACTAAGCTGTTAGTGTCCCATGACAGCCTTAAAATAAATTTGTGCTCTCTCTGTCTGTGCACTTCACAACCCCTCCGATAGATTCAGCTGTAAAGGGCCCGTATCATGGAAAAAACATGTTTCCATGCTTTATTGAAAGAAAAGCGTTTGATGTAGTAAGTAAACAAGGTTAAAATTTAAAACTGATAATTGTCTTGGTGCTGTGATGATAATCAACACAGTAACAGGCACAGAAACAACCTTGTTTAGTTCTAAGGTATGAAGTGAGGTTGGAAAATAAAACGTAAAAAGGAATTACAACTATTTCTGATGCATAAATGTTACAAATGGGCCTAAAATATGAGAAGAATTCAAGATATGGGCCCTTTAAAGGAATACCTCACCAATAGGCAGTGCATAGATTTTATCAGTACTGTGCTGAGAATAGTCCACTACCTGAATAATGTCTGAGCAGTGGTCCTATGGTGGTCCCTTTCCATTTATTGGGGGGGAGTGCAGCAATAGATGGGCTTCATTCAATAATATATGATAGGTGCTATTGATTAAATGGCCGATGAGTGTAGGTGTAAGATAGGTGTAGCTAATAAACTGGCAACTCGGTTTTCATTCCAACAAAGAAAGAACACACGATCAGTTGTTTAAAGACTGAGACCAACTGCGCAAACAAAATAAAATAAAAAGTTAATAATAATTAATAAGTAATTCTAGCGTTAACAAGTTGGTAATACAATAGTAAAATAATCGTAACGAGTTGTACTAACCTAAAATTAAAATGAACTGCTTTTCTAATTGTTAATGAATAATAAATTAAGAGATGTGATGAATTAATAATATGTGATGTGCTTAACTTTTCTCCATCACTGAACTCATTTCTGAGCCTTTCATCAGATCTGTGCTTTATAATAGATAAACAGTATTTTGTTAGCAAGTAACACAAAAGAACATGTGATGTTATATTATCCAGCCTTGATTCTGTATAATCTCAGTATTTTTCCTGAATCTCTTCCCGAGTAACTACACTGTCTGTAGGAAGGCCGACATGTAAAAGCAACAGAACAACCATGAGTGATTTTAATACAGTGATTTAGTTATAATATCAGTGCAGTTACCTACACTATTTTAAAGAACAGATGTCATTACCTGATGTGTGATTTATGACCTCCAAGGCCATGTAGTTTCACTGTGATTACAGCCTGTAACTGTGTCTGTTCATCACACTTCGCCTGACAGTTTAAATACATAGCAGGTAAGAAACAAAGCAGAAATAAGTGAATGAGTATTTAACAGCATGAACACCATCATTTCAGCTGAAGTACTTCATTGTAATAACTCTGATATAAAACCCTATAATTATTTAAAAGAATTGGGGAGATATGTTAATTAAGCAGATGTTGTAAGAGCCTGATGTCTATTAGCTGTAAATATAAAACAAAAAATGTAAAAAAGCAACGTTCAAGCAAAATGTTACTGGATTAACAATGAAAGACAATGAATGAGGAACAGTTATCTTTTGCATAATGCTAACTGGGTCTTACCAGCTTTAATTCACAGTAAGCAGCATTATCATTATCAGTGAGGTTGTCTATTAAGTCAGCCTTCCTGTGGGGTGTCAGTGCTAGAATGAACACACAGACACAGAGCCAATGTCACAGCACAAACACAGTCTCCAACAGACAGAGGTCACATATGCAAAAAGATGGACACAGCTAAGGTATAACTGTACAAAGAAATGCCTCCACATTCAGATGAGACTGCCAGTACTGTTTGGATCATTTTTCAGTATTTGCCAGTACATACTGGATAAGCTGCAACAGAAATATCACTATCTCTCTTTCTCTTCCCCTACAGACCACAGCTTCCTCTCTCCGTCCCATTCAGGTGCCGCCAGTGACTCACACCGAGACAGGTCAGTGTTTTCACAGCCCAAAATTCAGCCCAAACTGCTCCTGCCTGCCTGTGAAGAACCCACTTACCACCACCATGTAGTGTACTATATTTAAATTCCTATATTTTCAATGTTTTGAGAAACCAAAAAGCTTTTTAAAACTTTATTTATTTATTTTACCACTTGGAGGTCTTATACTGAAAGGGAAAAGTTTGATTTGGTAGAGTCATGCTACAAGACACAATGCATGCAAGAAGTGCCAGTTAAAACTTGATTGTGGTGAAAATTTGACACCATGGGTCTGAATTGCTGTGTAATTATAGCATCGTCGGGGAAATGAAAACTTCAGCATTGCTGCTGTTTTTAAATGATGGGCAAGCCCAAGCCTCAGGCTGTCTGCAGCTGTTTATGGAGAGCATCTTCCAGTATTTAGCTCCCTCTAGTGGCAATGGCATCTTCTACAACTCAGCCTCAACTCACTGTGATTAAACTATAGTAGACTATAATAGCTTGGTAATATGTGTTAAAGTAATAAGGTCACATTGTACTAGATATACAAATGATTTTATAGTTTTACAATGATTTAAATGCTTAAGTTATTTTAAATGTAAATGTATTTATTCAAGAATATGGTGGTATTGGAACTTTAAGTAGTACAAAAGTGTGATACTAATACTAAAAGTAGTGCCAGTGTTCAAAAAGACAGTAAGTGAAATGACCATTCTGTAAACAATGAATTTAATTTAAAGAATGATTTAAGTGTTTAGGTTTAGAGATTTTTTAAGATCTAAAGTGGGCTCAGATAATAATTTTTAATAAACGTCAGGCTCAGTTGATGCTTCTGGACGAATTTCCGGCTCATATGACGGTTCTCGACAAACATCTGGCTCATATGACGATTCTCGACGAACATCTGGCTCATATGACGATTCTCGACGAACATCTGGTTCATTGGACGATTCTCGGCGAACATCTGGCTCATACGACGATTCTCGCCGAACATCTGGCTCATATGACGGTTCACGACAAACATCTGGCTCATCTGACGATTCTCGACGTACATCTGGCTCGTATGATGATTCTCGGCGAATTTCTGGCTCGCATGATGGTTCTCGACAAATATCTGGCTCAGCTGATGACAGACGAACATCGTTTTCAGCTGAAGGCAGCTTGGGAACCTCAGGTTCCTCTGACATTAGCGGAGGAACTTCAACAATATATATTGATTCAAGAAGAACTTCAAGCTCAGCTTCTGGTTCTGGGAAAGCATCAGGTTCTTCTGGTGGCTCTCACCGTACATCTGTCCCGGGCAGTGATGACCGAAGAGTTTCTGGTTCAGTTGATGAAGGACGCTACTCAGTGGAGCTCAGGCCTGGTGTTTCTGGCCCACAAGGTGGGTCACAGAGCATGAACCCCAAAGCTGCTCTGTGCTCTCCAGCGGACTTCTCTCCATGACGCTGTGCATGAATTGCTGGCATTAAGCTTTTGGAGCTTCTGGAGTGTTACTTGCTTCTAGAGGAGACAGAGTGCTGCTGAAACCATACTTCACTGATTTTTTTACATATTGCATGTAAACGCAGCATTGCTATGCAATTTCATGTTATTAAAGAGGAATTCCACCAATTTTTCAAAAATTCTGTATGAGTTGGCAGTTGAAATGTAAACAAAGTTGGTTTCATGTGAAATCACGCATTTTAGAGAAATTTACTGGTTTGATAGTGACAGGAATCATTGGTTGTCATACCTTCAGCACAAACATGGCTTCTATCCAGAATGGCCATAATAATGAAAACTGTGGTTGTTTTCTTCAGGTATTATTTTTCCTCAGAACATCCTGCACCTGCATATACCTCACTATGCTGAAAGTACATTTTAGGCAAAAACATATTGCAAAACTATCCTAAAACAGTGTCTCAGGCATTATTCAACAAATTCTTAATCATTTTGGATAATAACCTGTGAGGTAACACTTTGGCAGTCTAATTCTTTTACTCTCATCAGACTCTGAATGACTCTGTTCACTCTGTTTGACTCTGTTTTGAATCAGTGGAATTCCCCTTCTGTTATTTTGAAGAAGGTGCTGATGCTGCAGCTTAGGAGCTTCTGCCTTTGGGAATATTTCTTCAAGGAATACTTCACTGAAAAATGTTAATGTTTCTAATTATGAATGAAAGCCAAGTGAGACCAGTTAGCTTTATTGTATGTTAAACATTCGCTTTTGTGTCACTTTTATTCATCATTAGCAACATTAACATCTTTATCAGAAATGTTCCTTAAGGAATATGTTGACTTCAGGCCTAAATGGGAAGGAGGCCTGTTTATTTTGCTAAAAGAATTAGAATTCTTGATGAAGTTTTGGTTAAGAAGATGGGGCACGCTTTTCTGGTGTTCTCCCAGATGTTATGCAAGCTGCATTTCTTTTATTCAGTTGGCATTGAATCGATTGATAGTTGTGTGGCTGTCTTTGGTGTAATTCTAACTGCAGCTGATTTACAGGCCCAGTCGGTGCTCGAGGAGAGAAAGGGGACAAAGGAGAGAAGGGAGCTAAAGGAGACCGTGGCCCCGAGGGGCCCAAGGGAGACACAGGGTCCGGGACAGGATCCGGAGGCCCCAAAGGAGATAAAGTATGCTAAAAATGGCTACTTTAATTTGTTCAATGTTAAACTGATATAGAGCTAACATTAAGTGTGTAAGAGTTTGAAGTAAATGCTGTGCGGGTTTGACCACACCAGGGGATGATGCTGCTTTGTTGGAGATAGACATTTATCTTTACTGTGTGTTTTCCCAGGGCAGCCCAGGAGAGAAAGGAATGAAGGTATGTTATGATGATCATCTTACATAATCCCAATATAAACATTACTATAATCATAAAAGACAATGTGCACCTTCTAAGGTATCGCATGTTTTCTTTGTAGCATTTTCTCATATCTAGAGTACTGTGCAAAAATCAAAGGCCACCCTTCATTTATTTTAATTTCTGGTTAAAATTACCATTAAGTGTAAGTTAATTTTTCAGGAGATATTTCTGAAGAGATTAGATATAAGATAATCCACTTGCGTAGGGAAGAAGAAAGTCAAAAGAAAATAAGTGAAAAAGCAAGAATTTCCAAGACCTGACTTCAAAAAATGATAAAATACAGAGAAAATAGGACTTCTAACAAGACCTGATAGACCAACAAAGTAGTCACTATCATACAATAGTCCACAGGTGTTTCTGTCCATCCTTCTGCTGTGAGAAGACAACTCAATAGTCTGAAAGAATGGGTAGCTGCCAAGAGGTCATTAATGAGAAAAGGCAATAAACAAAAAAAGAAGAAAATTTACAAATTAAACAAAGTCCAGAGTCCAGACCTCAACGTTACTGAATTAGTTTGGAATTTTTGGATGGTGAGAAGCAGAAAATGCAACCAACTTCTGAGACTGAACTATCCCTGCAGATTTCTTTTGAAAAACTGAAAGCAAGTTTCTCAAAGAATGGACACAAGTGTGGACACACTAAATACTGAAAATTCTGGTATTATATTTAGTTCTTGAGGCTTTGGGATAATTTTAATTTAAATATACATTTTCTGCTTTTTTCCTGATGCTTAAAAATTAATAACTTAATAATTTAATGGTCATGTTGAATGATGATTAAGTGCAAGTTAATTTGTAAATTAAATAAATAAAAGGTGATCTCTGACTATTACACAGTGCTGTATGCAAGCTGTATGTACACTAATAAATCTTTCTTTTGCCTTTATAATCAGTGACCCTTTCCGCTGCCTTAAATAATCCTCAAATTTTCCTCAAATATTGCTTTAATACATGCTTAAAACTCTACCATTTGCTGAAGACTAGCCATCACCTTGCACCGGTCTGTTGCCCCACATGCACTTGTGTCTCTAAAGCCTGACTGAAGCTCACATTTTTTCTTTCAGGGTGTTGCAGGTTTTGGTTATCCTGGCCCAAAGGGTGACCAAGGACCATCTGGCCCACCAGGCCCTCCTGGCCCTCCTGGCCCCAGTGCTGACGTGGTGGAGAGAGGAGATGGGTCTGTAGTGCAGAGGGTTGCAGGACCCAGGGGACCACCAGGACCGCAAGGGCCACCAGGCCCAGCTGGGCCTGCTGGAGCTGATGGAGAACCTGTAAGTAGCCCCAAAAAATACGTAGTTCATTTTACCTTTACATCCTTACATTTTTACATGGGCTGTGGTTTTGATCATCTCCATATGCCCTTTGAGCTTGCCCAGTCTGCATTCTGTCATCACTGTTGTAAGAAAACCTTATATCTTCGTAACTATATACGACAAGGAAAGAAAATACCAATCCCTTTATCATGAAGTGTTCACAGAATGGAAAGGCCAGCTGGCTTTTTAAATGGCATGCAAACAAAAAGCAAACAAGGAGTTACAAGACTTTCTCATGATATTAATGTTATGATAAATTATTGTCAATAATGATGGTGAGCAATGAAGTGTCACACCACACCACCACACGCACTTACAAAAGGTGGTTCTTCAAGGGTTCTTTAGTAAAGAAAATGCCTCTATATAGAACCATAAACATTTAAAGTAATGTAAAGAATTTGCATGATTAAAGGGTTCTTTGCTTTGTGAAGTGTTCTTCAGACTGATGGAGAATGTGCTGAAGATGGTGCAATATAGAACCTTTTTGAAAAGGGTTCTGTATAGCACCAAAAAGCGTTCTTCTACTGTTATGATGTCAAGCTGGTAACAATAGCAGAACCCTATTTGGTGCTTTGTAAGGTTCTGTATTGCACCATCTTCAGCACACTCTCCATCAGTCTGAAGAACCCCTTCTTGATGCATAGAAACCTTTAATCATGCAAAGGATTTTTGAGTGTTCTGTCTTCACCCTTGAAGAACCATCTTTTTTAATTGAGCACACAGTATTTTTTCATTTGGTTCGGCTAGTTTCATATTGCAACGGCCAAAATTAAAATATGAATTTTCTTTGCTTGGAATTTTGTAGGAATCAGTCACTTTATTTTAACTTATCTTGGCTTATCATTGTATAAACTACAGATCTAACCCACATGTATATTATTGATGTAAATGTAATATCCTACCCTAAAGATGCTTATCCTCTTCCAAAAAGATGCCACAGAGGGTTCTTTGAGTGATGAAGAGCCTTTTGGATCCCTAAAGAACCAGAAGTGGTTTTCTGTGGCATTGAACAAACCCTTTTTTAGCACCTTTATTTTTTAAAATGTAAATATATCACAATGAAAGCAATTAAAATAAGTCTTGCTTGATCTCAGCTTCTTTATAATGGATTGGTTTAATAGTGCGTCAGTTTGATTGCTGTGTCCCACTTATATGTTCCACAGTTCATGTGCCAAAAACAAATGCATGTCTTTGTTATTATTTTATTGCTTGTCTGCCATTATAAGCTACAGTTCATACTGCAAGAATGATCTGAGCATCTGATATGATGTTAAAAGAGGCAGATTATGTGGACAGTACAGCACTGACATACTGCTAGAAAAAATAAAAAATGTGCTCAGATGTTGAAATTAGCGTAAAAACGAGTTCCTACAAGCAGGTGGAGTGGTGGGTGGAGTGTTCACACCTGTCAAAATGAACCAAAGTTAAGAAAAAATCTGACCAAAATCTACACCAAACTAGGTAGCCATAGAAGCGCCATAAGTGAAGCCAAATGAGCTTCTAATTTGAAAGACAGTTAGTGTAGCATAGCTGGTACCACCACTAGCATCTATGTGGTACTCGAGGTTTGATTCTCACTCTTAATAATAGTCTTTGGGTAAATCACCTAAAGCCACGTTCACCTGCCTCTGTAACATAATGGGGTTGTAAGCTGCTCTGGGTAAGAGCATCTGCCAAGTGGCATAAATGTAAAGAGGATGCTTATAGTGCTGCAATGTTTAGTGTTTACCTTACCCTTCAGTACCTGAATCAGTTGCACTGGGGAAGGGGAAAACTCTGCTGTGGCCTCCTGAACTAGAAGTGAAAAACACCAGCTGAGAATAATTGCCATTGTTTATTGGTTCTTCTTGAACTTGAAGCCCTTTATTCATGACAAGAATGTCCTCATCCTCAATGTGACGCAGGTCACTATGTGTGTAGTATTTACTAATGTATGCGCTGCTCATTTATTAGTGCCGTACAGAGGGCAGTGCCTATGTCAGTACTCTCTGGTGTCATGCCCAGCGAATGCAATTAATGTAACTGTAAGTGCGTGTCATGAAGGCACATTGTATTCTGCCCTTGAGACGTGGAGCATAATGCATGGGGCGCCTCAGACACTGTTGGTCATATCTGGACAAATGTGCCATATAAATATTCCTCCTTCTGTGCTTTTATAGGGTGACCCTGGTGAAGATGGAATTGCTGTAAGTTCTCCTGAGTAATGCATTCCATAATGGAACACTTATACAATGTGGACGTGGGGTCAAGTGCATTTCTCTGTGTTCAAATGACTATCTTCCTATTCCATCTCATCCATTTTCCATGTATTCTTTTCCTCCTGACTATACTTTATACTGTATAAGGCAAGAGGCATTATACAGTCAAAGGCTCCTGGCTCTGAAGGACCACAGCACTGCACAATAACTACTGTAGCATAATAGATTTGACGTTATAATGGCTTGATAATAGGCTGATGACTACTTAAAACAGGTAATCTCGTACTGTGTGGTGCTGAGGTTCTGCAGGACTAGTGTCCATCTCTGGTATGGGGGAAACTATCATGATTAACAAGCAAGAAAAATAATATTACATTTCTTGGTGCTGCTATTAACCTACTGAGCTATTTCCATTGGCAAACAAAATTATATTTACTCTCATTGCAATATAGGGATCATTTCATTATGGATTGCATTCACTTCTACAATGAAGCAAAAAAATCAAATCACTTTGACCTATAGTCTCTCTCATAAATTTTTAGGGCCCAGCTGGACCCCCAGGTTTCCCAGGAACCCCAGGAGACCCTGGACTTAAAGGAGACAAAGTGAGCATGAGTTTTCATCATTAAAATATGATTTAATGCCAAAGTCAAGAGTTGCCAAAACAGAGTAGGATCCATCAAGAATGGTAAAAAGTACATGGTAATCATTTTAGTATGTTGTTCTTATTAATGTTCTAATGTCTTTGTTAGTTGAGTACCAAAAACTAGTCTGCTAGTTGTAATTATTTCTGATTGGTTTACTGAAAAATACAATGTAGGAGTGAATCTGCTGTATGAAAGTCTCTGCCTGAATAACTGAATACTATCACATTTTCAGGGTGACAGGGGTGAGGGCCAGCCAGGACCCAGGGGACCACCAGGGCCCCCAGGACCGCCAGGACCACCATCTCGCTCAGACCGGCCTGTGAGTTCTTTGTAGAGACTGAATATTTCAGTGGCTCGTGTTGGATTTCTGTTACGGTTGCACACTTAGAGAAACTAGAGGAATGTTTTAGTATTGAATCTTCTGTGTTTTACCTGCAGACATTTGTGGACATGGAGGGCTCTGGTTTTGGTGATCTGGAAGCTGTGCGGGTAAGTTAATGTTAGCATTTGTGTGGATATTTACAGCCACAGGCATGAATAACTGAACGTCAAGGGTCAGTTTTCCAAATGTGGATTTAGCCTAGTCCTGGACTACACAGCATTCTGAATGGAGATTCTCAATTGAAAGGAAAAGTTAGTCTAGGACTAGTCTCAATCCTTGTCTGAGAAACCAAAAGTGCATCACTTGTTGTCCAAAGACTTAAAATGACTCTGTCTATTAGAGCTAGGCCTAAATGTGGAAAAACAGGGGAAAAAATGACACCTAGAAAACAAAGCATATCTAATTAATGATAATACTGATTTATGCTAGCACCCCTATTGGATTTCTAGTACTGTGTTAGCGCTGCACATGACTACATGAATATTTTTGAACATTTTAGTGCTTATAAAAGAAAATCTTTTTAGTGTGTATTTTGTATTGTTTGTTGCAGTTTGCAGAGACTTTTTCAGTAAAGAGCCCTGACATAGAGCAACTGCTATTTTGCATTTCTAACATCCTACTGAAACTTAGACTCCGCATATATTCACAGTCATTGACATATCTAGAACATCCTGAAGGCTTGGAGCGATTTCACAAAATCAGTTCTACCTTTTGTGAATCAAAACATGATTGCTTGATTCCTCTTTCACCTCCTGTTTATATTGAATGTTAATCTTGTGGGGGCCTTCAGTTCAGCTCTAACCAATGAGAGAGCTTAAGTGGCTGACCCTGAGAGTTCCCATCTGTTAGTCTATTTTTGGTGTGGGTATGCCCTGTTTTATGTATTAGTACATCATATCATAATCAAGAATTGCAGCCACTGTACACCAATTGGAAGAAATTCATATTTATTACATTTACTATAAATTTGTGCAATGCAGGTTTTTAACAGCATTCCCAAATCTAAGGAATCCTTTTATTTGTCTTATCATTTGAAAACACAGGCTGACTTTCTGACTTATACATTGTGTCAGCATTTCACAATAAATGCACCAATATAAATAGTTCAAAAATACATTTTTGTCAAAGTTTTGTTAAATACATTAGGAAATGCTACGTAAAGAACATTTTCTTACAAGAGATTTTAGCAACTTATTTGTTTGTTTTACTTTTTCACTTCATTGTGCATTTGTTTTTTTTCATGAATGTCCAATAGGGATTGCCTGGCCTCCCTGGCCCACCTGGCCCACCTGGACCCCCAGGACCTGCAGGACCTGTCAGCACTGCAGTGTCTGCTGGCTCTGGTGGCTTTGGGCCCCCTGGTCCCCCTGGACAGAACGGAGCGCCTGGAAAACCAGTATGTCTTTCACAAATATAACATTACAGTTATCCTGCAGTGGGATAGTGCTTCCAAGTCCATTCCTTCAAGGCACATAGGCACTCCCATGATTTTGTTCTATTTCAGCTCCCAGTACACCTGAACTGGTGTGGGAGGTTGAATTACATCTCTGCTGTTGGTATTGTGCACATTGCCCCTTTTACGAGATGCAATATCCTCTGTTTAATATGACTGCACATTGTATTCTACAGGGGGTTCCTGGACCACCGGGTGCAGACGGCAAACCAGGCCAGCCTGGCCCCAGAGGAGAGAAGGTAGGAGTAGATTAACACCTTAATCCCCAAGCCCCCTACTAGTTTGTGAAGAGCTGTGGGTTCACATCCATTAGTTTCCTTCGGATAAGAAGAATTTGCATGTTAAAAATAGACTGGGTGATGATAATCCTATATGGGATTTGAAACTGCATGACAGGCCTAATTCTGCTCCTGTGAGGCCACTGAAGTGTCAGTCATATGTGTGATATTAAACACGTTTGTGTCTCGCTCGGCAGGGTGACGCTGGTGAGCTCGGCCTACCTGGAGCAGTGGGAGAAAAGGTTAGTACACGCACACACGCACACATTCTGACGCAAACTCCTGAAACCCTTTTAGATGCCCACACACTCAGACTAGCAGTGCATTCACAATGTATTAGTGATGCGTTAGAGTGCACTGTTCAGTCACCGAAGTCTCAACAAACCCTGTGCTGTGTGGGGTAATGTGCAAAAGTCAGAGTCCACCCTTCATTTATCTAATTTCTAGTCACAATGGCCACTAAGTTCAGGTTATTCATTAGCCACAATACAGTAGCCTCAGCAACTAAATATAATATTATTTTTTTCAGTATTTTGCGCGTCCACAGTTTCTATTTGCACTTTCCATTCTTTTCAGTAGACTTGCTCTCAGTTTTTTAAAGAAGTCTGTCAGGATATTTTTTCCACACCTCCAAAGTTCAGTCAGTTCAATCAGAAGCTGGTTGTATTTTCTGCTTGTCATGGTCCATGTAATCCCAAACACATTCAGTGATGTTGAGGTCTGGACTTTGGGGTGGTCAATCCATTGTTCTGAGAACACCAGCAGCTTGCATGCAAGTTTTCTTTTTTTTTCTTGTCTGTTTCCTTTTTTGTCACTAAAAGCTTCTTAATAGCTACACATCCTTTCAGACTCACAGTGTTGAATTATCTTCTCACAGTGGAAGAATGGACAGAAACATCTATGGATGTTTTCAGATCTGAAGCAGGAGTGGAGCTTGATTTTCTTCTATCCTTCAAAGATTTATGAACTGTTTCTGATAGGGTCAGTTTTGTTGGTCTACCACATCTTGCATGGTTGTTAGAAGTCCCATTTTTTTTCTATACCCTTTCGATCATTTTTTTTAACTCCAGTTTTGACTCTTATGCATGTGGATTATTTTATAACTAATCTTCTCAGAATTAACTTCTGAAAAATGAATAACTTCTACATAATGGCTGTTTTGTCTGGGTATTAAATAAAATGAAGGTGGTCTCTGACTTTTTCATAGTAGTGTAAGGAAATAACACAAATCCCATATCTGGGCTAGAAGGCTAACAGTTTTTTATATGAGGCTGTACGGCTAAACATTGTTAGCCTTCTAGGCTGAAATATGTTCTTTTTTACTCCTAAGTCTCATTACACTCGTGTCTGACCTCACTGGTGTTGTGCTCTTCAGGATTTTCTTCTGTGTTTTCTTTAGTTTTAGGCCTCTACTTTCCGGCCTCTCTTTGAGCTCTTCTCTTTCTTTCTTCATCCTCCGCTGATAAACTCTCAGCATGACAGGTAGCAGGACTCTAGGGGCATTTTTTTACAGCATCTTGGATGTTCATGAGAATGCTTTTGATATTGTCATGCTGTGTTATCAACTGTGACCAAAGATATATGGTTGTGGTTGTGGTTATAATGCTGATCACCTTTATCCTCATTTGCTACGTTGTGGCTTTGTTAATTATTATTTTGTGTGACATTTTATGTGGTATGGCTGGATACCCTATAGTTAAAGCTGCTGTTTGCTCTGACTCCTATTACTTTATTGCACCATTATTTGTGTTTCTTTCTTGTTTTACCCAATTTATCCTGCTTTCTTCATTAAAGGGCAATTCCACCAATTTTTTGAAAGATCTGCATAATTCAGTCAGTTATTCAAAGTGGTTTGACGTGAAATTGAAATGGAACACAGCAACTTTTTTATAGTGTTGGTGATAGAAACGAGGAGTGGTGATGTGATGTGTGTCAACACAAATATGGTCATTTTATTTACTATCCAAAACCAACAGTGAGCCTACATGAGTCTTCTAATGTGGATGATGATAAAACAGTGGTACATCTTAACAACAGAGGGCTCTTTGGGTACTATTTTGCCTTACAACGTCCTCCATGTACCTCTCCACCATTAAAGGCTTTTTTAAAAATACGGCCTAGGCCAAAGCCTTATCACAACACTGTTGTAAAACTCAGACATCAGGCAGCAAATTCATAACCATTGAAATTTTTCTGTGAACTAGTTTTTGAACTCTTCAGAGTCTGGTTCCTATCACCACCACTATGAAACATTCTTGATTTGGTTTCTCTACAGTGTACCATTTCACATCAAACCACTCTGAAAGACATTTTCATCCTAAAAGTTTAATTATGCAGAAATTTTGAAAAATCTGTGAAATTTCTCTTTTAAAATTATTGTATTTTATGTATTGTATGTTATTGTATGAGCCATAAAGCATTGCATTAAATTGACTTCATTCAGATATTTACATTCAAATCTGTACATAAATAAAAGACATTAAAAAATTAATACATTACTTTTTTCGCAAATGTGCCTCAATCTTTGTTGACCCAGTAGGTGCCCAAAGCTGTTCAAAACTTTGGAATTACTTGTTTTTTGTTATCTGCTTTAGGATTTGATTGTCACTTTAAAAAAGTAAAGTGACAGTCTCTGAACTGCACATGTTTAAAATTCATCTGTGACCAAATTGTTCTATAATGTTGAAAACAGTGATTTCAAACTTTTGAATGGCAGTTTGCCTGAAGACCCTTATTCTGTTATTCTTACACATTGTTCCCTCATTTCCTGCATTCCTTCAGGGTGCTCAAGGACCTCCTGGTCCTATTGGAAGAGCAGGAGAGCCTGGGCTCGCTGGACTTCCTGGCCCAATGGGACCTGTTGGGCCACCAGGACCTCCGGGACCTCCAGGGCCGAGCTACCATGCTGGCTTTGTGAGTATCAGATGCATATTGCGGTCCCAAACAGATTTTCAAAGGAGATAATCTAAAGGGTTCCCTACTCCTAATTATCAGAAATTATGATAATCACAATGTTCTAGATATGTTTTTGATGTTGTAGAAATGCTCTAGATATGTATGAATGATCCAAAAATGTGGACTGATCTTCATATAAGTCATTATAATATTAGAACCGTCTTTTTTAACAAACACAGACAACATTCACTAATTTACCTCACAACTAGATCTAATTATATCAAATCCTCTTTAGCTCCCAGTGACGGAAAATGCAGCGGTTTTGTTGAGAGACAAGCAACATAAACATTGTTTTGCTCTGAGTCACTGTGAAGATGATAGCCTGACTTTCCCAAACTTAGAATAGTGATGTCATCTTAACATCATCTTAACACTGAAAGTCAACTTAATGCTGAAATGGTTGGATGTATCTTGGCCTATAGTGACCCAGAACATCTATCTAACACATGACCTTTGTGGTGCTTTTGGGCAGTCAGGTGTTTACTGATCTGAGAATGAGGTTTCATTCTGTGTTTAGGACGACATGGAGGGATCTGGTGTAGGTGTTTTCAGCGGCACACCTGGTGTCAGAGGACCAGCAGGAGTACAGGTGAGTGTTGACATCATGATACGCAAGATATAAGTGATACCTTCAATATCACTGCTGCTGTTAAATTAATGGCTACTGTGTCATTGTAATTCATTTTCAGGGTCCTCCTGGAATTCCAGGTCTGCCGGTAAGACTTGTCTTTTTTTCATGTGCTTATTCAAAATGAAAGGAGATATTCGTGTAATAGCGTATAGTGCAGAAAGTTTGGCTCCCAACACCTTGATGCCACAGCAGTCACATGTATTTGTTCAAATCCGCCACCAGCACGACTGATTTAATATAAAGCTACACTGTGTAAGACATTTTTGTAAAAAATAAGTAGCATTACTGAGTCAGCAGGAAAAAAAAACACGCTATGTAATATGATGTGCGTGCTTTGCATTTCATTTTCAGTCCCGCTCCCACCCCCGCAAGATTTGATCATGCACCTGCCCGCTCCCGCAGAAAACCTGAATCATTTGTCCTTAGGCTATTCATTAATTTGTGGGATTTCTCCTCACGTGTGCCTCGGGCCGCTCCCGCCTGCAGTGGGCTGGTTCCTGCCCGGTCCCGCGTGCAAAACACTAAAAAATATGTCCCGCAACGCAAGATATTGTGGTGGATCGCGTCCGCTAGTCTGAAGCACAAGCAACATCACAAAATGTTCTTCTGCACATTCCATGCAATTACACATTTCGACCAGAGAGGTCTCTATAATTCCCCAAATTCACAATCTTATGTATTGATTGAAGCAAGCCAGGTATTGGATGGTAACTATAAGTAACACTGAGCTTTCTTGAGGAGATGTATGGAAATGTTTAAACAAATACATTAATATACATAAAATCAATGCTATTTTGTTCTAATATTAGAGATTTCCTTAGCAAGCACAAATTGCCTATAAATGATTTTTATATGCAGTTTTCTCAGGTGCCTTTTGCACAGTAGTGTTTTCAGCAATAGTTCTGTGTTTTTTGTGGCCTACAGGGTAAACCTGGTCTACCTGGAATAAAAGGAGAGAAAGGCAGTGAAGGACTTCAGGGAAGAGATGGCCGGCCTGGCCTGGATGGATTTCCAGGACCACAGGTATACAGGAACCCTTCAAAAGATGACTTGCTCTTTCCTGAAGTTCTCTGTCTTTGACATGGACTAGCATGTAACTTATGATTATTTCTATAATTGATCTCTCGACTATTATTTTATGAATTGACTAAATGAACTATTATGACTTCTGCTGTTTCTTGTCTGTTTACTCCTTTTACACTGTCACCATCATTTAAAGTTCTGCCTATGCAACAACAGTTTCTTTATATGGTAAAATTAGGAGCCATATCACCCCCATTGTTTCCTGCAGGGTAGTGCAATCTATTGGAATGACTGAATGTTACAGAACGTCTTAAAAGGCTTCTGTGTTTAAGTAAACAACATATTGACAAGTGGACAGTGTTTTCCATAATCAACTTTATTGATAACTCTTTACAGCCCTGGACTTGTGGCACTCTTTGTTTTCATGTGATGTTGCACTTTTTCTGGTATCTTGGATTACAAAGTTCATTCTGAGTTGTGTTGTATTTGCACAGGCCATTATATGAACAAAGAAAAGTGTATAAAGTGTTACTCTTATCTGACAAAGAAACTAGTAATGGGTGTTTCAGGCTGGACACTCTCCGACTGACCTTGGTGTGATTTGTGTTTTGCCGATAGGGATCCAAGGGTGATCGTGGAGACAAAGGAGAGAGAGTGAGTATTCCCTTGGATGTGAACAAACTTCTCCAGCATTTGAAAACTTGATTTGATTAAGTTGTAAATGTTTTGTTGTGCTCTTGCTATAGGGTGAACCAGGTCGGGATGGTGGCGGTCCTCCAGGCCCACCTGGCCCTCCCGGACCTCCAGGACAAGTTATCTATCTGTCTTCAGAGGGCGTAAGTACATTTCAACACAAATACTGCTACCACTATATATATAGAATAATATTAATAATAAATGAAATAACCCTGCTATATAACATTGACACAACCATGCTGTGAAGTCATACAAAGCAGGGTTCAAGTCAAGTAACAATTATTATTATTATTATTATTATTATTATTATTATTATTAATATTATTATTATTGTTGTTGTTACACGCTGCAGTATGCATAAGTAGAAAGACTTGTTGAATGCTCAATATTAATGGAGTATGGAATGGAATAGCTGAGTAATTTTTTTGTTTGTGGTTTGTTTGTTTTGCAGCATGATACAGTGGTTGGTGGCCAGGTAAGAGTCTTTTAAATGAAACTTTGAAGATGTCCTGACCTGCTGCAATAAGTAGGTTTAGATATATTTACGAAATATTATTACCAAAATAATGCCATTTCTATTGTCTCATAGAGGAGGCACCAGCTGTTTCCAGTTGTAGCGCATAATTGCTGTCACAGTTGGTCTTTCATGTATGTTCAGTGATGGCCATATTATTATTATAGCCAATAATTTCAAAATGCCATCTTAGTTTTTTCCAGTGAGCACCTACTAATTTGATTTCTTACCTTGTTATTATTGCTGATGCCTGCATGGGAAACAAGAGCTCTAACAGGTGTTACCGCTTCCATCTGTGTGTGTGTTTGTGTGTGAGAGAGAGAGAGAAAGAGAGATAAAGAGAGAGAGAGAACTAAGCAAGTCAAGAGAAATGCTGCAGAAAGGAATGATTGCCTTTCCTTAAACAGAATACATTAGTGACCATAGCGCATGCAAATTAAAGAGAGAACAAAAGAGAAATAAAAGGCCGCTGGGCCCGGCCTGACTCTGCCTCTGCCTACAGCGAATGTCAGACATTTTCTTTCATAGTGACATTTTTCTGTGATTGCCACCTGAAAGGATTCTTTTGGGGTTCTTTTGGGGTATTTGTATGCCTTGGTGGAATGCTAACCTTACCTTATCCATCCACTGGGCCACAACTTTTGAACTCGCTTCATGTAAACGATATAGTGTTTGTGGTCCATTAAATTGGATTGTTTGTGTTTTTAGGGTGTACCTGGCCTTCCTGGTCAAGCAGGATTCCCCGTAAGTCCAGTGTACTTGTTTACTTGTTTGCCTCACAATATAAAGACTTAAATGAAATGTTGGATCCATCACAATGTAAATATCTGTGTGTTAAAGGGCCCAATGGGACCGAAGGGTGAGCGAGGAGATTCTGGCCCTCCAGGTTATGGTTTAAAGGTCAGTCATACAGTTTGAATCCTGCATTTTTGAAGGGGCATCCCGTAGATATATATATATATACAGTACTACATTAATGTTTGTGAGTCAGCTTTGTTCTTTATCTTTGTATGAACATGTTTTTGTTTACAGGGTGAGAAAGGAGAACCTGGTATGGTTATTGGACCTGACGGAAGTCCTCTTTATCTCGGTGGTCTGGCAGGTCCAAAGGTAAATGCTTAAATATTAAAATTAACCTTATAACTTGAAACCTAGAACAAGGTTTCTTCCAGGAACATGGCAGGAGTATTGTTGGTGAGGTTCACTATTAGTACACTACTAATACACTACTAATGTGCACTAATTTGTTGTACTATTTCAAGCAGATGTTCTTCAGCCGTCTGAAACATTATGGTTAATACCAAAACACAAATTTTAAATGTAAAAAATCTGTTCAAAATTTTCAAGTAATGAGTGGAATGGATTACACATTTTTTCACTGTTCTTTGAAATCTCTTTTTATTCGTTTTTATTACTTATTTTATGTGATGTTTCAGTATTGACAAAGTTACAGAAATGACTGAAACTAGGTAAAATTCGGAAAAAATATACATAAATATATTTCAATATATGCTCAGCGAATTTCTACATTTTAGTATGCAGCACAAAGATAATTTTAAAAGGAAAACATGTTTCAACACTATTCTGACCCCCTGGTTGAACATATATGTCTGTAGAATGACCAGTCTATAGCTACTATGTTTAAACAGTACAGTATTGCTTTAAACCTTTGGAGGTTTCGAGGTATAAGTCAAGTGTTTGCTGCTCTATTCTAATGTGATCATAGAATAAAGTTAATTTCACACTGAACTATATTTACATTTGATTTACATTAAGAAACAACAGGATTTAGTCTCACCTTTTTCCATTTGTGTCACTGTCAAGAATAGGCTAACATGTGGAAAAATGTAAAGGATGTTAAGACTGTATGAACAGCAATACATCTTTTATCAAATTCAAATCATAATGAAATATTTTCTCTTCTACTTACCAACACGAATGTGGTGTTGATTGAAGGTTAAGAATTCACTCCTTCCACTAGGCTTTCTCCACATGTTTCAATGAGCTACTGGTGAGAAATAATGAAAATGAAATCACACCATGTTTTGTTGTCACCAGGGTAATTATATCTTTTAAGGGTTAAAATGTGTGAATTTTTCTTCATTCTTTTTTTCTGTTTTTTTTTTTTTTTCTCCAGGGTGATAGAGGACCTCCTGGACCAGTAGGACCTACTGTGAGTATGATATGATTTTGGTATCTGGTTTGATAAAATGACAATGCTAACATTGTAATTAACATTCCTCTCTGGCTGTGTTTTTCCACAGGGGCCATATGGTCCTCCCGGCTTGAAGGGGGAGATCGGAATGCCAGGCAGGCCTGTGAGTCCTTCACTTATAAAGCTGAATATTGAAAGATGTCATTACTTTGTGCTTGAATTTTTCACACTTCACGGGTTTTGACTAAGTAACCTTGTGGTGTCACTGCAGGGTCGTCCAGGTGTGAACGGATATAAAGGAGAAAAAGGAGAGCCAGGCTCAGGCGCGGGAGCAGGTTATGGATACCCTGTAAGGACAAAACCCATAGTAAAGGTGGAATGTTCGTATTTGCTTGCTATGTGCCAAGAGAATGGCTTTGCCTAACAATGTTATTTTGCATCTTTTTAAGGGTCCACCAGGCCCTCCAGGGCCCCCTGGTCCCCCGGGCCCCTCCGTGCCTTTGGACAGATTTGGTGTAAGTTCTTATTTTATATCAGATAAGCTGTAATTCAGGCGTGAAAATTGCTTTGCGTGCTGAACAAGCGAAGAGGTACAGAATTGATTATCTTAACAATTTTCAAAGCAGCAGTAGTACAGTTCCAATCTTTTTGCCCTTCATTTTAGAGATATGAAGATAGCGGAAGGACATATCCAGGTAAGCTGTTTTGCATTCCATGCACTAATTTTTATTTTGTTTTTAAAAAAAGCCAGTGGCAAATCTGATGGATTAAAAGATAATGCTACTGTGCTAAAGAATTGTGGTGGTAGAGATGAAGCCAGTGATGATACAACCAATCATTTAATCCGCCACTGATTTCTGGTTATTGTCAATATCAAAGATGTTTATTCGCATTTTGTTGGAGCATCTTAGGGTTTACATGTCTTACTCAGAGTGGCAAGAGCCATCAGGTTGAACCCATGACCACCAGTAACTGATCAACTGTCTACTGACTGATTTTTCTGTAGCTATGAAAGGAGAGAAGGGAGATCGTGGAGCCCCTGGTGTATCAGGACCACCAGGTGAATCCTTAATTTTCTTTTGGACAGTTAATTGCTAATTAAACAGACCACAATTACAATTGAGGCCTTGTTTCCCAAAAGCATCAATATATTTTTATTAATACATTTTTGTAACTTCTATTGTTACTTTACTGCCATGCTTGTGTGAAGCCCGGTCAAGTTTAGTAATAACCAACAATTATCAATGTATATTAATTTTACTAACATAACATTTTTATATCTTTTTTATAGGCAACTTTGACATTTACACTTTGAAGGTCAGTTACTTTTCTCTGTCATATATCTCTATGGAGAAGACTTGGCTGACAATATGCATACTAAATGACAGCGTGTGTTGTGCAATGTGTTTGTAGAACGAGCTGAAGGGTGAGCGTGGAGATGCTGGTCTGAAAGGGGAGAAGGGTGAGCCGGGCTTCTATGATCCACGTTTTGGAAGTGGACAACCAGGACCCCCCGGAAGCCCTGGACTTCCTGTAAGAACTATGGGAAGGGTTTTGAAAAGCAAAATGTATTTTTTAATGATATGGTCTAATTCAAGGGTGCCAAACTGTAAGGTACTGTTTTAATCAGGATGATTAAAGTTTGGGCCCATATCCTGGAAAACCAACCTTTGCTTCTTTTAATAAAATAGTTTGATGAAGAAAACTTTGCTAAAGCTCCAAACATACCATCCACTCTACAATCTAAATATGTAAACTAAGCTGCAAAAGTTTTTACATTATTGTTTTTGTGATGTTATACATCCACCCAGTTTAACCCTGCCCATTCACACTGATGTTATAAGGAGTGCTTGAGTTCGGACTGCTTTTGGAATTAGGTGCATTACATGGCAGCCAATCAGAACAGAAATGAAAGAAAAATGTGGGAGATGAGCCGTTTAACAATGAAAACCTTTAGCTAAATGAGATGAGTTCGAGAAGGATAGACAAGCAGCAGATTTGAGGATTATGTTGATCTGTTTTAGGGTCCCAAAGGGGATTCTATCAGAGGGCCCCCTGGTCCCCAGGGTCCACCAGGGCCTCCTGGTGTTGGTTATGAAGGACGACAAGGAAACCCAGGACCACCTGGACCTCCTGGACCACCTGGTTCACCCTCCTTACCTGGAGCGTACAGACCCTGTGAGTCAAAAGTCTGTTATACAAGCAAATCTAACATGTTAAGACCAATCTATCAAGTATGGTGTTTCCCACACATTTGACATTTGATGTTTTTCATCATTCAGCACTCAGCATTCCTGGCCCTCCTGGTCCCCCTGGTCCACCTGGCCCACCTGGCCAAAACAATGGGGTAAGGAGCACCCTGGATGAGCTCATTTATATATTGTAATGACCTTAGTGAAAAGCATGCCTGAAAAATGTTTGCCATTAACCAGTTCTTAGTCTTCTAGTCTGTTAACATTCTGTCCAATAATATTCTGTAATATTTTGTAGGTAACGATACTGAGGTCATATGACACACTGCTTACAACAGCACCTAGACAACCAGAGGGAACCCTCATCTATATCGTGGATAAAAGTGATCTCTATATCAGAGTGCGGGATGGCGTCAGACAAGTCATGGTACTGTGCATTACACGTCTTTGTGTATCGGAAATGACACTGTCTTGTAAATTCATACATTGACATATAAGCAGAACAGTCTTCCTTTGATACATATTTAAATACGAAATTCTCCTCACTTCCAGCTTGGAGATTATAGCCCCTTTTACAGAGATTTGGTAAGTAGTTTTATATCTGAATAAAGAGTGTGCTAAATTTGTCACCTTTGCCTATTACTTAACAAACCACATTAGCATTAAAAAAAGGAGCTGGCAGTGAATCAAAGGAACAGCAACTGAAGTTACAGCTCTGCCTTGGTGACATTCTCTCCAGAACAATGAAGTGGCGGCAGTGCAACCACCTCCAGTCGTCCAGTACTCCCAAGACCACTCGGCCAATAACGGGGCAGAGCACTTTTCCCATGGTGGATCTGCCACCCAGCCTGTTGAGCATCCAGCGCGCCATCCAGCAGAGAGGCCTGGGAGGGAGCCTCCTCAACAAGGACATGTGGCTCCTGCCCCGCCTGACTCCCGCTACGACCCCCGCTACTCCTCTTACCCAGATCCCAGGTACGCTTCTCAGCCGGACCCTAGGTATCAGCCCCAGCCGGACCCTAGGTATCAGCCCCAGCCGGACTCTAGGTACTCAACCCACACGGATCAGAGGTACATTCCTGTGCAGCCAGAGAGGTACCCCATCACCCCCGCCCGCAGACCCAGCGTACCCGTCGTTCAGCCTCAAGGTCACACGCATACATCAGGACCAGGGGTGAGCTCATAGTACAACAGCTTTCCTTTAGTTGCTTTCTTTTATTTGACCCTTTAATTTCCAGAATAGTGTGAATAGAGGCAGAACGTTCTAGAATGGTGTGAACTGGAAGAACATTCTAGACCAGAGTGAATATGGGGAGAACATTCTGGAACAGTGTGACTGTTGTGAAATCATTTTAGAATGGTGTGAATGGGAGGGAGAACATTCTGGTACAGAAAATTCTAGACCAGAGTAAATATGGGGAGAACATTCTAGAACGGAGTGAAAGGGGTGAGATCATTTTGGAGCAGCGTGAATGGTGGAAGAACATTGAAGAACAGATTAATTGTAGGGAAGACGTTGTAGAACAGTGTGAATTGTTGGAGAACATTCTATAATGATGTGTAATGGGGAAAACATTCTGGTACACATTGTCCATAAACAGCGAGTGTAGGCTCATGCAGCAGTTTTGTACATAACACACAGGCAAAATGCATCTGATTTGTGCCTGAAACTGGTGCAAAAGGTTTCATACAGCAGGCCCAGAATCATTAACCCCTTAACATTCCAGGCTAATTACATGTTTCTAAGGCTTATTATTCATTAACTATAAGGACTTCAATGCAAACTAGTGGAGCTTTTAGCTTGGTATGGGGTAAAAATATTTGAAAATGACTTAATTAAAATCACGGAAAATCTCTGAACTGTTAAGCTGTCAATTTTCAGTCTCCTGTCCTGAAATGAACACTGTTTTCAGTAGAATTGCTTGTTGTAATTCTATTTTGGCTGGGTTTGCCTTTCTATAATCCCATGTGCTTTCTCTGTATGAACAGCTGCACCTGATCGCCCTGAACAGCCCGCAGGTGGGGAACATGCGGGGCATCCGTGGAGCCGACTTCCTGTGTTTCCAGCAGGCACGGGCTGCAGGGTTGAAGGGCACGTTCAGGGCCTTCCTGTCCTCCAAGTTGCAGGATCTCTACAGCATCGTCCGCAAGTCTGACAGACACACGCTGCCCATCGTCAACCTCAAAGTATGTCTGTTCTTATCACTGAGAAACATCATTTATTTTTCATCTGCATTCAGGTTTAAAACCTGCTACAAAATATTTCACCCTGTATTGTCAATGATATCTTTATAATATCTTTAGAATTAACATTCAGGAATTACATTAATTATTCAGTAACTTCTATGAATGTAATGTGTAAGTTATGTAGCTATGAGAATGAGGGGCTTAAATGTGGGTCTTTGTAGTTTAGGGGGTTAAATTTGTTCAGTTTAAAAACTATGAAGCAGATTTTTTAAATTATTTTCCAGTGTAACGGCTCATGGCTGAGTTGATGTTCTCCTCTGCAGGACCAAGTGTTGTTCAGCAGCTGGGAGTCCCTGTTTGGTGATTCTGAGGGCAGGATGAAGAGCAATGCTCCCATCTACTCATTCGATGGCAGAGATATCCTTAGAGACAGCGCATGGTGAGACATTCCAACATGCAACAACATGCTACATAAACAGATGAGCTACAGTCAGTAATTATATACCTACAAAATGCATCTATAGGGTGGTTGCACCTGATAAAATGAGTGAAGTGTGCACTCCTAAAAATAAAGGTATCAGAAAGGGTTCTGTGGAGTGATGCCATAGAAGAATCACTTTTGGGTTCTTAATCAACTTGTCAGTGAATGGTTCTTTAAAGAATTGTGTTTGTAAATGAGATGTGCAGAGTGATAAACCCTTTTAAAGTTTAAAGAACCTTCTGCCACTGCTGACCTGCCACTAGCAAGTTTAAGGGGGAATTGCATGAATTATTTCAAAATTTCACTATAATTCAAACATTGAGATGTAAATAAAATCTTTCAGAGTTATTTTATGTGAAATGGTCCATTGTGGACAGACTTGCTAACACAGATTTCTTTATAGTGGTGGTGATAGGTACCAGGGGTCCCAGTGTCTTCAGCATAAATATAACTGTCTCAGGCATCTGGCAGTGTATTCATAACCATTTAGTATGATATTGCTTTTTGTAGTAGCATTAAATACACTGTGAACAATTCTGACTCAGTAAGTTTCTCTGGAATGGTGCATTTTACATCAAACCACTCTGGATTATGCAGAAAACGTTAAAAAATCAGTTGAATCCCCCTTTAAGTTCAAAGTATTTTTTCCCTTTTATTTGAAAGTTCCCAAACTGAAGCATAAGCATTTCTGTGCTGCACTGTACCAGGGTCACCTTCAAGCAGGACACCATGCATTGTTCCTCTTCCTCTCTATTGTTTCTCAACTGTATGTGTGAAATGCAGAAATTTTATGTGGGCTTTTTTTCTGCATTCTAGGCCAGAGAAAATGATCTGGCATGGCTCTAATGGTAAGGGTCACCGCCAGACGGATAACTACTGTGAGACATGGCGGACGTCGGACCACGCGGTGCTGGGTCTCGCCTCATCTCTGCAGGCCGGACAGCTTCTCCAGCAGACGCCCAGCAGCTGCTCTGGATCTTACATAGTGCTGTGCATCGAGAACAGCTACATCACACCCTCCAAGAAGTAAAGAGCCTGACTGTCCCATAGAGCTAGGCAACACTATCTTAACTGTCCAAGTAGGACATTTTTTATCCACAAGTGCCCTGCTTCTAAATATGAAAAAAAGAAAAGAATTATAAAAAAGAAAGACAGGAGCTGGGTCTGCATGGCAGAGAGGCTGCCCGTTGTCCTCTGGTTCCCTCTGTAATGCCAAAGAGACAGTAGCGTTGGCTATGTTTCTGGGCATTGGCACATATTTTCCAGTTGAACCAGAGAAGAGAGGCCAACCGAGAAAGGCAGGGTTTTTAACTGTATCCATATAAAAAATTGTATATGAAATGTTGGTTGTTTATGTTGTTTTGTTTTATGTTTTCTGTTTATTAATGTTTCTTTATAAAATGTCTTAATTGGTATATTTAACCAGTTTTAGCTACATATTTTTGTGTAACTGTTTTGTTTATTGCTTCAGTTTTCATCCAAGGATAGGTGGATATTGAGGGGTAGAGAATTTACAGAGAGAGTAAATATTTATTTTGCAGTAAAGATAACTACATTATGAATTTGAAACAGAAAATATAGAACACCTTTTCCATGCCTTTTTCAGGCTATTTTTTACAGCTTATGGCTTATATGTAAACACGTAAAAGTGTGACACTAAAATAGATCAACTACAACCACAGCAAAAGAATACACTGCAAAAAGTGATATCTTAGCCAGTGGAATTTTCTTAAATCTAGTCAAAAAATCTAGAAATTCTCATTTTGAGATTGTTGTAAGCTTATTGTAAGATTATGTAACATATTTCCATGCATGTATTACTTGTTGTGATTTTAGTAAGTCAAATTATCTATTTTAAACTAACTAACTATATTTGCAGATAATTTTGCTTAAAACATATTTCTTAAAACAATCAAAACTATCTGCTTACATAGTAAGTTCATTTGACTAAAATCACTAAAACAAGTAATAAAGTCTAGAGATAAGTAATCTTATAATAAGCTTACATCAGTCTCCAAATTAGAAATATTAGATATACCTACTAGATTTAAGACAATTTCACCTGCAAAGATACTGTTTTTTTCTGTTGTGTAAATCCATGAATTATTTTATATATTTAGCCCCTAAAGAACTTTTGTACAAACAAAAACATTGAGATGATTCTTTAATATTTCTCAGCTGTATGTATGGGATCAAATGTATATGAAACGTGTTTGTCAGTGGAAAATTCCTATGGACGTTCTTCTCCATGTCGTTATCTTCTTGTTCATTCCAGACAAGTTTTCTATAGGATATAAAAGAGGATGAATAATATGTAAAAAGCAAAAGTTTTCTAGTTTAAATCAGAGAACAGTTTGTTAAAAGTTCTTTTTTTGTTTTCTGTTAATGGAAAAATAGCTACAAGTTCCAAAAACCCAGTCATTCACTGCTGGGTACAAAAGACGTTTAAGCTCAGTTGGGTGCTGTTTTGTATGAGAGTAAGCTCAGAGATGTAGTTTATCAAGACACTTAATCTTAGACCTGTGTGAGAGTTCAGATGCTGACCCTGCTGTAGAGGAGATGATTCAGTACAACCCTGTGGAACTCAAGTCCTTTTTGTAATCCACCATTTTTACAAGGCACTGAATAAATGATTTTTCTCCATTCACAAAAAATAACTGTGGTGCTGCTACTTTTTGTGTAATAAGGCATGTTATCTGTACAGTTTGATAGGAAAACCTTTGTGCGGGCCTTTTGCATTCACGTGTAAGGATATCTTTCTTAAAAAACACTTTTTAACTCCCTAAAGAACAATGGGCCTCATTCACCAACCATTCTTAAGAAGAAATTTCTGCTCCACTTCTGTAGTTTTTACAAAGATTCTGACATTCACCAGTGTTTTCTTATTTGGGATTTGTTCTTAGGTAAGAACAGAATCTACTCACACTCAAGAGCACAACGGTGTGAACAATTCTGTGGTTTAAAAACACATCATGAATCCGACATAGATTTTTTTAGGACCTTTCTCAAAAACAAATGTAAGGAAAAACTTTGATTGGTGATTGCTGAATGATGCCCAATGTTTGAAAAAAAGGTGTAGAAGAACCATTTAAACTAACCCTAATATAGGTCTATACCAATTTTAGGGTACTTCTCTAGAACCTTTACATTATATAAAGGTTCTTTAAACTTTAGTTTCTTCACACTCACCCACCTCCATAAAGCTACACTGTGTAAGCGTTGGGGATTTGGTGGAAATATGTCATTGCATGCAATGTGCGGAAGAACATTTTGTACTGTTAGTTTTGCTTCAGACCCTTCCGCAAACAGATGAATCTGATGATCGTGAGAGTGTTGAAAAAGTATTCAAAGAGAAATGATGCTCTGTGAATGATGTGTCATAAGAGAATTTTCCACCGTTGTTACCATATGTTCATCAGTATAATGTTGATTTTGCATCTGTGACCTAAACATTGAGCCAGAACTTCTTTTTGAGCCTTGTTATGGAAAGATGTATGACTGAAAAACTCCTGAGAGATTTGATGGGACACCTCTGACTTTTACATTGTTATTTCAGGCTTTACAGGGCAACTTGAAGCAGCGCAAGTGTTTTTTGATTCTGGCTCAGCAATCGACTTCTTTTTACATTTTTTAACAAAAAACATCTTGCATAGTGCAGCTTTAACTAAATATTCTCTAATGACCCATCAATTGGAAGGTTTTTATGGAACCAAAAGTGGTTCTTCTGTGGCATCTTGCAAATAACCTTTAGTGTTGTTTCCTAAATATAAGAGCCACATTCAATAACTATATCGCAGCTGTCAGAACAAAACCTCGTATCTCCATGTTTGTGTTTTTTCAATTTTTGTCATAATTGTAAAATGCTTGTTGCCCTTTACGTTGTGTCTAAATTTCATGATGAATAGACCAAAAGAAATAGCCCTGTTTTTTCCTTCTCCTATAAAATTCTCATTTTGGAGATATGAGGTTTTGTTCCGACAGCAGCGATATGCTACAGAACAGATTTGCTGCAAATACACACTATATTACTGTTCTCTATCTGCAACAATCTATCACACATCATGCATGAATATGGCACATATATTTCTGGGAATGTTTGCTGCCATCATGTGGATTGATGGCAATAGATCACTTGCACTAAAAGACAATTTAGTTGATGATGTTTTATACATTGCTTCCAATTTCTAATTGAGTGGTGGAGGACGGTAAAACAGAGGACAAGACACTGTGTGACACAGTTTTACACCCTAACCAATGACAGCCAGTCCATACCTTTGGTTATAGCACAGCAAACCCTAAATCAGCACTTAGATGTAACTCCTCAAAATCCCATCCATCCTCCGGACACTCACCAGACTGAATAACGGCCTAAATGCTGTTTAAGCGTTGCAGAGCTGCAGGCTTATGCTCCAGCCCTAAGGCAGAAGGCCTGAAGCTGTTATTCATGCATGTCCCGAAATCGCACACTGGGCCCCTCTGATGAGACAGCACTCCCCTCCACTGTGCCTTTTGCACTAGCTCAGTGTCCGCCTCGAGGGGTTTATAGTCCCTTCAATAGGATTTAGCTCTGTGGCCTTGAGAGGGCCTCTGAGGCACAAATCAGTGGCCACACTGACAGAGAAAAAGCTGCTCGCCCTGTGGAAAGGACCCTCTTCAGGCTCCAGTGTGTAAAAGAAAAGACTTGTTTGGCGAAGACACAAATTGCATGATACCTACTTACTCCATATTAATGCATGCATTGTATGCAAAATTTGGCGCCCCTGGTCAGACTACATGTTTTGTTGATGTTCTAAGCGAAAATAAGTTAACATATCCTCTACAGAGAACACACTTCTGCACATTTTAATGCACAATTACTGTTTATTTGCTGAATTTAACATATTAGTAAAAGAAAAAATTAGGCCTGTGCAAAGTTATGGCACCTTTTATATGTTGTGTTTTTCTAATATGTTAAACTAAAAAAAAACAAAAAAAAAAAACAAGAAATTGTGCTCTAAAATTTGCAGAAAATGCCATATGTAAGTTTGTTCTATGTAGAGCATCTGTTAACATGTACTTTGACGGGGGGTGTTATATGTTTTATATAAGTATTTCATTAATTTTAAAGATTTATTCAACATTTTCTCCAGTTTCCAGCATTTTTTACAACAAGAAACGTGTGAAAAGTAAGAAATGACTTAACACTTAGCTTCCACAGGCCACAGAACACCATTCAGTGTCAGTTTCGAATTGGAACTGCACAACCTCAAGGAAGTAGTCCCAGGCAAGTTATAAGATTATATGCATTATATTCTACATCAGGCCTTACCATATGATGGAAATAGCAGCACAACTGTTGGAGAATAGCCACATTAACAGTATCTTGGAATTTTGGAATAAGAGCAATTTTTACTGTCCTGTATCTTGTGGAAGCCAATATGACATAAGTTTTTCACTCTATCTAGTAGGAAAAACATTTATATTTTTTTTAAATGAAAAATGTCCCTTTTAATTTTGTAGCATCTTTCATAGAGAACAACAACTACCTTTAATTTAAGAGTTGAAGTCAAACCATGCTTTTAAAATGCTCTCTTACATTCTTTGGCACATTTTAAATGTAACCATGTTCACTCTCTCCAACAAAGCCTAGTCTTATTATTGATTGTAGTGAGATTAACATTTGACATCACTGTGGCTCAGGTAAAAACAAATTATGTAGTATGCACTTTCCAGTCCAGGCTGAGGTCTCTGGCTTGTAAATCAGCACCCAAAATATAATTTGCTGAGTGATAGAGTATCCTCATAAGTCTCCGAGTCTGAGAACAAGAGGGCAATCTGCAGCTGGCTGCCATCTCCACGCTGCTACGGCAAGGCTATACTTAGTATCTGGTGAGTAATAAGTAAGCACATCCAAATGGTCTACAGACAGTAATGATACAATAGCAGGACAAGATGAGGACTTTAATTACATTGGTGGTGGAGTGGAAGCCATGTCTGGTAGACGTGCTGTGTTTATGCTGTCCCTTTGAGTCACTGAAATGGAGATGTTTCTGTGTAGCTACTATGGAGGTGCTGAATTTATGTGGAAGTGCAGGAGGCTTGCTGCCTGGATGACTGCCTTTTTCTGCAGTCTCAAACAGCTGTCAAACAAGACATATGAGAATATTTATTTATTTTTTTATTTACTATTTCCCTTCTGAAAACAGTTCTACAGCTATTCTACAGGAATTCCTACAGCATTAATATAAGAATCTTTGGAAGAAAATTGGACAGCTAGTATACTTCATGATAGACTGTCCTAAGACAGTACTACAAATAATTTGAATATATATATATATATATATATATATATATATATATATATATATATTCTAATTATTTATACAGCATTGTAGTTCAGCTCCTTTGTCTGAGTGTATTTATTTATTTTAATATTTAGGCTATAATGTATAGACTTAAAAACTTATGTGATTGGCTAGCATTGAAAATGATTGACAGGTGCCCCGCCCTCTATCATCAGTCTGCAGCACCGTCGTAATGTTGATCCCCGCCCCCTCCAGCCAAGCTTGTAGCAGTTTGTCAGCCAGGTAAGCTAAACAGGACTATTACTCACAAAATTACTGAAAAAGGAACTGATTAATTATTACACGGCAAACTTGGAAAACTTACAGGATATAAAATCCTCCGAAGAACATTTCGCTTTGCTGAAGTTGAGCCCAGTCTTAACGTTAAGCCTGAGACGAAGCTCAAGTCAGCGTTATTTACCAGCTTCTTGGCCGAATTTTCCCGGTCCACCTTAAATGGTGCAGCACGTTCTAATTTGTTGAACAGCAAAGGACCAACCGCAATGTTTTTGATGACAAAATTATAATACACAGTTATCATGTAAAGTGGTTTTTCTCCCTACTAGGCATGACATTTAAACCTGACAGCACCTCAGACTGAATACATTTTTAATGAGATCCCTTCCTGTAATCTTCCAGTATGGCAGCAGTCACCCGTGTGCACTCTAACCTCAGCTAGCAACGAGTTTCTATACGCTGAAGAAAACGTGGTTTAGGACAAGCCAGTGGTTACAAAGCGGCCTGTGAGAAACTGTATAGACTTTTAAATATATAATTCTTAATACGTTTTTTAACCTTAACCTGCCCCCTTTGGTTTCTCAGGCATCAGTAACAGTGCTTCACTTTTTCTACCACAGGTATTTTAACTGTCCTTAAAGGGGAATCCCACCGTTTTTAGAAAAATTCTGAAGAATTAAATGGGTAGTATGTAAACAAAGACATACAAAGAGTGAATTCATCTGGAGTGCTCCATTCCAGAGAAACTAAGGGTGATGGGAGTCAGATGTCTGAAGGATTTAATGCCTATAAAACCTCCCTCGCAGAGAAATATTACAGACACCCTGCCTGATGCTTAAGACATTGTTTTCCGATGGTTTTGAGATAAGATTTGTACTTAAAACATATGTTTTTGCTTTTTAATCCATTTATGGCAGATATTTATGCAGGGTGTTGTAAGGCAAAATTTTTACTTTTTTTTTCAGATTTAACACTTTTTTACTGTTATTAACATTACATACAAAAAACTAAGAAGACAGGTTAACTGGCTGTTTTGGATAGTAAATACAGTGGCTACATGTGTACATAGCATCCCCTAGTTCATATCACTGTCACCGTAAAGAAATCTGAGTCGCTTTCTCTGCAATGTACGATTTCACATAAAACAATATTTTGAATAGTTTAGTTTTGTTTACGTCTCGCCGACTGAATTATGCAGAAATTTTGAACATTTGGTGGAATCCCCCTTTAAGTGCTTCCGCCATCCTCAAAGCTCCTTAACCCTGGCCCAATAGACGCACAAACACTTACTCCCCTCACCCAAGCTTAGCCTTGAGTTCAGTGGTACCTACCTAGCACTCTCACCGCTTTCCATGCACCAATATCTCTGCAGCTGGAAACATATCCAATGTGACATCTCCTCCCATCTCTCATGCATTTTTTATGGGGTCTTCTCCTCCCCAGCACAGAGAGAGAGAGAGAGAGAGAGAGAGCCATGCACGCTCCGTTACAGTAAAGCAAACACAAATCCATTCAAAACGCCCGTCCCACCTTCACCTGTGTGACGTCCTGTTCTTCTCACACCTTTCCAGGTAAACACTGACTGGTCGAGAGCTCCGTTGGCTGGTCGTGGAAGGTTGTGTAGGTACAGGAAGAAGTCAGTGGGATGGATAGAGGGATGACGGTGGCGGTGGAAGGCAAGCTGCACACCCAACCCGCAACCCTGCTGAGTCATGATCGGGTGTTTCGTGCGCCGATGCCGTGTGTTATTGGCCCGTGTTATAATGCACTCCGGTATTGATAGCCCTGCATTGATTTTGCTGCTTTGTAAAATTCACTGAGCAGGCTTTACCCGGAGAGGCACATCCTCTTCTGAGAAGCGCAGAGTGGCTCAGGAGGCTCTCAGTCTGGAATAATGCTGCGGGTCCCTGGGGGCGTTCGCCGTCAGCTGCAGGAAAGGCTGAGAAAAGTTTGTGCACTCAGAAGGTGTAGGGATGCTTTTTTCCAGCACTAGCCTAGAGAGGGCCTATACCTCCGAGAGACCCCCGTCTTTTACGCCTTGTTAATAATGGGACATTATTGCTTCACTCTCTGGAGCGCTCCTTTCTGCAGTGAAAGGAGGAGGGGTGCTTGATGTGCTTTTCATTTATCATTCTGACAGTTTGCCATTGATCACATATCAAGCCGGGAACTCAGCCCCACTACTGATCTGAAAAATGGAATAAGTCTTTATGGAATCAGCTCAGTTTGTAGTTCTTGGCTTTTGCTCATATAAGGGAGAAACACTGTCTCTGTGGTCTTTGCCAGAGCGTGTATGCAAACGTAAATAATTGCCTATGTATAGTGTATTCAAATTAGCAAGTAGGTTTGTTTTTCCCCCTTTGCCTGTACTGGTTTTATTTTGTGCCTTATTAAGTCCTCTGCACTTTCGCCGAAGCCCGTCTGTGGATCCAAAGTCTCTGCCAGTTCTGCAGTGGAGCATGCAGTGTTATTGTGCTGGGTTAAGTGCCTCACAATCTAATTACTCTAATGTCAGCTGCGGTCTTAAATCACACTTATTGGCTAAGTGCGCCGGTTCGTCTGTCCTTCAGAGAGAGAAGCTTCACGCTGCTCTCGGAGTGATTATTCCGATTGGATATGAGCAATTGCACTTATTGGCTGGTGCGAGGCACCGGCTGCTCGTGCTCCCATTCGTTGCCACCGATACGGGTTGCTCGCGCGCGATTGGCTCCTGGGAGGGAGTGGGAGGGGAGCTATCCCTTTCCTCCTGGTGCTGAAGCGCGTGTGCATGTAGGGGGACTCTCTACTCTCCCATTATTTGACTGGCTGCAGGTATTGGTGTCTGCCTCCGTGCGTGCGTGCGTGTCACCGCATGCGCGTGTATGTCTGCGTGCGTGTGTGTGTATGTGTGTGTCTGTGACAGAGAGATAAAGAGAGAGAGAAAGAGGAGCAGCGTTTCATCTCCCCCCCTCTGGCCTCCCCGTCTCCCTGCTCCCTGTCACTCCGTCCTTCCTTCCCTCCCGGACCACCCCGTCAGCGGCTGCGCCGGCCCGGACCCTCCACCCATCACCCCCTTTGACTCTCCTCACTCCACCGTCCCGCCTTGTCAACTGCAGGTAAGGAGCCGCACAAACATGACTGGCTGCAGCGCTGCTCCAACTACTCCGAAGGTACTACAGCTTTTCTCTCCTTTTGATCTTTATGTTTTTATTGATTTTTTTGGGTCCAAAACTCTTTCTTGTTTCTTTGCATGTGATATATTTTTTCTTGTCTCTCGTTCTTTCTTTCTCTGCCTTCCTCTACCCTTCTTTCTCTCTTTCACACACTAGAGCACACATATACACGCATTAACACTCACACCCTCCCTTTTTTCTGCCTTTCAAGTTCTCCCTCTGGCAGTTCCTCTCCCAGGGAGGTGTGGAGAGAGAGGTGGGGGGATTAGTATCTGTGAGGTCACTCTCGCTTTCTAGCCTGAACTCTGCTCATGCTCAGTGTTGCTTACTACTTCCTCTTCTCTATCTGTGACTTTATCTGCACCACTTTTAGAAGCTGTCCACGCACACCCTTAGGCTACAGATGACTTGTGAACTAAGTTTGTAATTGAACTCTTGTTTGTTGTTGTGTGGTGTTATTGACAGCAGCATTGTTTTTATTTCTATCAGTACTTTTCTAATAATTTATATTGTGCATGTGGCTTCAGAACCAACCAGTGACTGTTACTAATGTGCCCTTGAGTGAAGCATCTACTGTAGCTTCAGAGTAGGGTGGAAAGATTCATCATTTATATATTGAAATCACAATTCGAAAGAATGCAAATTGCAATGTTGTTAATTATATCTTATATATTATTCACAATTGTCTTGACAAGTTTTATGTGGAGAAATTTAACCTAATAATGCAGAGCTTATAAACTAGCATTCTGGTGCTTCATTCAGGCCTCAAGCCTGAAAAAATAATAAAATCTTATTGGCAATAAAGGCCTTAATTTAAAGACTATAATCGTTTATAAATTGCAATGACAATATTGGTCAGAAAAATCACAATTAGATATTTTCCACCAATCTTTCAGTCCTACTTCTAAGTTGCTCACCTATACTTTCGTTGAGGTACGTTGCTTTGGTCAAAAGCACCAGCTTAGGCCCATATATAGGCTATAGCACGGTAAACAAACACTCCTCTCAAAACGCTAAATAAAGTTTGTAGGACTTAGAAGACCAACAGCATGACGTAGCAGAAACTGTAATTACTTTAGGTCTCAACTATTGGCCTGATCCAATCAAGAAGGCTTTTCACTGTGCACTTCAAACATTAACATGGTCTATAAAACATCGCAGGCCACAGCAGAAAAAAAGCTGCTTAGCACCGTGATCTCTGCTACACAGCACTTTGCTTGGAATGAGAGTTTTCCAGAAGATTGAAGTGATGGAGCTGTCAATACCAAGTGAGTGTTTTTCACTGAGCTCCTCTTGTACTATGGCTCCTGCACTGAAGCGTGATTCCCCAGACCAGACTGTAGACTGTGGTCCAGTTTTGGCCTGCAAAGACTCGTCTAATTTAACATTAAAAAACGCCTCTATTGAATCAAGGGCAAATTCTGCATGAGTTTGTTGTTTTTAGCCCTTAGCTGACCGCTAACTCACTAACTGCAGTTTGTTCAGTCTTGTATTTGTGTCACCCTGATGTTTTGTCCCACTGAACTGGAAATGGGACTTGCATTGTAGCTCACTGGGTTAATGTTTGGGCAGCTAAAGCATCGCCTTTTACCTCTGTCTTTTTAATTAGGTTAGAGCACCTCTGTTTTTAATTTGCCAGTTTTACATGCTCAAGAGCGATTGAGTTTGCTGGCCTTAACTTTATGATGAAAGCTGAAATTCTCTGGGTAATTCGAGTGTAGCTATGAGTATTTTTTTTTTTTAATCATGTGCATGCTGAGACCATGCATTTGTTTTCTTGAATAGCCCTGGTCTTGTTTTGCAGCGCAGTCCTCATATTATCTAGGGATGTTGAAAGTGTGGAGGCATTGATTAGGCAAGTAAACTGAGAGAAGAACAGGTGTCTTAATTAACACCAATATCCCTTTGCAGCCATCCTGGCTTGTTTCCAGCGGCGAGATAAAGAACAAGTGATTATTCAAATTAAAAGGCTGCTTTTTCATTGTAGGCAGGAGACAGAAGCAGGCAGGAAGTGGAAGCTGGAACTTAGCAGGGTGACGCATTTTAGCACGTACACATTAAAAAATCTCCAGTGTTGGATTAAGTCCCACTGAGTTAAATGTGTGTTCCTAGAGATGAAAATTTGAATCAGTTTAGTGTTCGTGGAACTGTGGTAATTTGTGCTGCATATCCTAGGGTCATTCTGTTGCACACTGCTGGGCGGCTGTATTAAGTCATAGGGGTCGTTTTTTTTTTCCCTCTTTTTTCCTTTTCCTGTGTTGTTTATATGAGGGCACTATCTCTACTGTGTTGCCATGTAATATTTATTGTCATATATTGTGGTCCCACCAATGCTCTAGCAAATGCTTTCACTGAAAGCCATATTGCTAATGCATATATCACGTCCCATGTTGCATGAGTAATTTATAAGGCTCTCTCTCCCTGCCCCCCACTTTTCTCTCTCACATTTCTGCACCTTCTGGAAACTGTCGTGTGACATCACAAGGACCTTTCGTGACATCACGCAAACTAGCTGACTGCAGGCCATGTTTTGCGTATGCAATCTCAGAGCATCACCACAGCTGCGGGTCTTTTTTAGCAGACACTGTGATATTGACCTCTATTGCTATAAGGGTGAGTCCCTCCACACAAGTTAAGTCGACTGAGCACTTGAGTTTATAACGTAGTCTTATTTTCTGTTCTTGCAGAAGCGAATCATTTAGCGGAGAGGAAAGTTGTTTCCAGAAAGCTGGAGTCTTGTGAAATTTGCCTGTCTGTCAATACGGATTTGCATTTCAGTGGCTGATTCCAATGGTGCTTCTCCTTCAGCCCCGCGCTCGTGGAATTATGCCGCAAAGCTGGGTGTAGAAAATGAAACCAGCTTATCGCACATGTGGTATGTTTAAAAATACGGGCCGATTCTTAAGCTGCGCTAAATTGGAAATGTCATCGATGAGGGCTAAATTTCTGCTTAAACCACTCCAGATTAGTTTCAGTTGCATATTTACCTCACCCTGTACATTTTCATCAGCTCCAGACAGATGCGTGACGCGTGACAGTAAAGTTTTGGGGCGAAAGCTATTACTTGCCAGATGACTTCAATTATATTCTCTCTAACAAGCCTTTTTTTTCCTGCTGACGCCCATGCTCTTGAAGCAGCTGGTCGTTTTGTGCTTGTGGCTGTATTTCACTTTTCTTTTTTTCTCCTCCGGATCCCATGCTGTCCCTGCTTCCGAGCTGCTGGATGGGCAGATCTTGCAGTATGAATGGACCGTCCCATTCCCCGGGCTTTCTTTTCACTCTCTCTCTGCCAGAACTCTAGCGGGAGCCCGGACCTCAGAGTCACATTCATTTTAATGTCAAAAATACATGGAGATCGCTTTGTGCCAGACTTCGCAACAGGATGTTTCATTGTGTTTGGAGTGTGGGAATGTGCTTTTCCAGCACTTGTTCCCTGCGTCCGTTTAGTGCTTGCCGGAGGAGAGGCCTGGTTTATTTAGTCTATTACGTTTGCTCGATACTGTGGGGAGTGTTTATTTCCCCTCCCCCCCAGCTCTGGTTGGTGAGTGGTTCTTCTCCACTCAGCCGTGTAGTAAGTTAACAGCGTCAAGCCCGTGTCATAACTCATAAGAGAATGCAAAGGGCTGCCCTGAGGGAGCTGAAATTGAAATGCTGCACCTTTTCGAAGTTGAGGCCGGAGAGAATTATGGCCTGTGAAATCCGTGAGCCCTTTGTCTCTGCGCACAGCCACTCTGCAGTGTAATTTAACCCGCCGATGGGCCGTGAGATCAATCAGGGCCTGGGAGCTGAGGGGGTAGGGATGCGGGTGGAGCCCGCTGTTGGCCTCCCGCAGTCTCTGCTGGCCGGTATGGCTATTTTTATGACTCCGTGCGATAGATACATCAAGGGCCATCTTGGAAAATAGTGCAGGTGCCTCCTAGGTCACTTTAGCCAAAGTGACGGTGCCGGCCGTGTAATTAAGTACAGTCTCTCAGGTGTTAATCTGACCATGATCCAGTGTAATTACTCCTACAGTTCTTACAGTAGAGCAGGCCTGGGACAGTACGCATTCTGTGACCTTGTGCTGTTCTTTGTATGTGTGAGCATGCTGCTGGTGCTTTGGTGCAGCCCTGCGATGGTGAGAAAGCAGCGCAGGAGACTCTGAGAAGGCCTGTCTTCCTGCTTGCTCTTGGCATTCTCGATCTGTGAATTTTTTTGCTTGATTAAAAAGCATGCCATGCAAGAGTTTGCTGCTTCGTGGTAGGTGCAAGCACAGGGCTGACGGCTTAACCACTGATTATTCAAGGCTCTTAGGCTAAGCCGTGGCACTTCTGTGATGAACGCCTTCTCCACTTCTCTCCCTCTCTCTTTCTTTTCTCTCTCTCTGTAACTTCATCTTGTGCTTGCTCGTGCTCTTCCTTTTCCTCTCACTGTCTCCCTCTATTTGCGTCCCTCTGTATTTTTCCCTCTTTCTCCTTTTCTCTTGCAGTCTTGCTCTATTTGTATCTCTCTTTTGCTTATTCTCACCACTTTCTCCCTCTCTCTCTCGCTACCTCGTACTTCCTCTTGCTCTTTCTGCATTCTTTCTCCTTCCTCGCTCTACTTTGCTCTCTCTCTCTCACTCTCTCTTTCACTTTGTCGCTTTCTCTCTCTCTGAGGCAGAGGCAGCTCCGTGTCTCAGCTCTGCGCTGCGATGGGTGGCGGTGTGAATCACGCAGTGCGGAGGCTTTATTTAGACATAATCCGCTGAGTGTCACTACAGTGAGAGGCTTCTCTTTGCCCTCCTACCGCACACACGCGTGTTCCTCAGCCCCCCCAATGGCGCAAGCGAGTCAGTGGGTCACGTGCTCCGGGTGGGACGGGAAGGAACACCCTGCACGCTGGTGACAGAGCAGTTTCCCGACGCCCTCATCCCTGACAGCCATAGTTGGTGATGTGGAGGAAGAGCGTGAGGGCGGCATGGCAGAGCAAATGTGTTCTTCTTCCAGCAGCTGAAGCCTCCAGAGCTTTTGGCCAGG